AACTAGCCAGTGGACAAGCCAAAGTGTCAAATCGTGAAATCAAGTTGATCCTTGAGAAGACGGTTGCTCGTAATAGGAAGAAGTGGTCGAAAAAGCTTGATGATGCTCTTTGGGTTTAGTTGAGGTTGGTTGTCTTGATGGTTGAATGCAATGCATGGTTGGTTTGCTTTTAGTCTCTTTATGATGATGATGATTATGATGATGATTATATATTATGATGATTTTGTTGATAATGAGTTGATGATACTCCTTCCCTAACAATCCAAAGCCCTAATATCCAATTCTTCCCTATCTTCCCTTTTCTTTTCCCTTAAAAATCCAAAGCCCTAATATCCAAATTCTTTAACTAGTTCTCTTTTCTCCCTCCTATATGTATTCAAAATAAAAATTAAAAAATGAGATTTGAAAATGAAAATTTATTTTTGCTTTTGATTGGTTTGCAATGATGATATTGGATTGCATGTGATACTCGCTTTCTTTTGATACTAAAATTTTGAGCATGGTTTAGATGCCCTTAGTTGAACATAGAATTGGCTAGTTTAGGCTAGTGTGAGGATAACCTTACCGAATGTACGAGACTTAAGGTCTAGGTTTGTGGTAAGAAGGTGTCGCCCGTCTCGAAGCATATGGAGAAGGTACTTTTCATTGAGATGCCGAGTGTTTAAAACCTGCTTTATCTACTTTTTTCCGGCTCCTTCGAGGAGTCATGAGACACTACCATTAGGGGGAATTTAAACTTTGTGATAACGTGGTAAGATTTGTTGAATAGGCCTAAGTTGAGTATTTTCAGGAAGGTTAGCTAGGCCTTGGCTAGTCAGGACCATGGTTGATCTTAGGCATATACCTCATGCTCAAGTTTTATTGCTTAAGGATCCTTTTATCCATGCATGTGTTTTTCTTTGAGAGGGATAATCTATCGGTTTGTTTTGAGCTATATGGATTGCTCGGGGACAAGCAATTGTCTAGCTTGGGGGGATTTGATAAGTGGCTTAATTGACCACTTATAGTGGTGATTTTAACCCGATTTTGTTATCATTTCTCCTACTTTTTCCCTCTTTCTAACCCCTTTTTGTATATAAAGGTTATATCTTGGCTTTGCCACCTCTTTGTGTGTGTTTTTTCCATGATTCCAGGTATAAGATAAGCTTTGACAAGCAAACAAAGTTTGAAAAAAAAGGGGTGCACAAAGAATGAAGGCAGCAAAGAATGAAGGAAGAGGCCACTCTTGGAGGAGCGGGCGCGCACCTCTCTAGGAGCGGGTGCTCCTACCATAGATCAAAGATTCTGCCCCTTTCTGAGATTAGCAGGAGCGGGCGTGCACCTCCTTTGGAGCGGCCGCTCCTGTAACTTGCACCACAAAATGCTTTAGCCAACAATAGAAGAGCGGGCGCGCACTCATGAAGGAGCGGGCGCTCCTGTTTCCACTGCTATAATCTGCCTCCTGTCTGGAACAGGAGGAGCGGGCGTGCACCCCCGTTGGAGCGGGCGCTCCACCCTGTCGAGCTGAATTATGCCTCCTTCTGAAGACAAAGGAGCGGGTGCGCAATTCTTATAAAGCGGGAGCTCCTAACTGGGAAACCGACTTATTTTTTACGGATTTACCTATGTAATTCAGCGAGTATAAATACTACCCCTTCAGTTCTTTTTGAAGATAGTAGTCCAAGAATACATTTTAGCAACGTTTCTCTTAGTTAACAACTTAGTTCATTAAATTAGTTGATAATTTAGTGTAGAAACTCCCAATTTCAATCATTGTAGAAGTAAATTCAAGGTTTATTTTCAGATTTTCCGCAATTATACTCAACATTGAAGCTTCAACTTAGTAACTTCCTTTACTTTTCTCTATTTATTTTCTGAATTTATTTTGATATTGCAAACTTTGAATCTCTCTTGATCTTGTTGAATTGTTGTTGCATGTTAGTTTTATCTCTAGTAAATCATTTTTCCCCATCTATTGAACTACTTAGAACCCTAACTTGTTACTTTGCATGTTACTCACCACGAGCTGTGAGTAGTCCTCTTTGCTAGGGGTTAGGTGAAACTCAACCTTATGGTTAATGAAGTGAATTTGGGTGAAGTATTGGTGATTGATTTGTGATTAAGTTGATTATATGAGATTGCTTGTTAGTTCACTTTGATATGAGTAGTTACCCTTGATTTTGGGCTTGTTGGCATGATATCCTCAATTTGACATGGGAATGTGAATTAAGTTTGTCATTTCTTATTGCAACTTTGATTATTTATCTCCTATTGCATGCTAAACTAATGAGGGATCTAAGTTTAGGAGTTTGAGTTGTATTCTTAATTGCAGGAGGTCGATCTTACATGTAGTCTTTACTATCTCTTAACTTTATTTGCTCCCAATATGCTTGGTTACCATGGTTGAGTGGATCCTATTCCCTAGTGGTTTTAATTACTTGATTTAGAAACCATAGCTTGTTTGTCTAATCGACGAAGCTCCAAACAACCAAAGCCTTCAAACTAGCTTAAGTGTTAAGATCCTTAGCAATTATATCCCGTTCCTTGTGGACCGAACTCTTACTTATCATCGTGGTTGGTTTGTGAGATGTTTGATTATAAATGTGTTTGATTGAGTGTGGAATGTGTGACCGTTCTAGCACCCATTAAAATGCATTTTGAACGCGGGGAAATTAGGTCGTTGACTAACCTCCCAGGGATCAAACAAATTTGTAAATCCTAAACTAACCCCTAAACAAGTCTAGTGGTAAGTTCGGAGTTGAACCACAAGGAACGGTAATACTAGATTGTTCTTGATCTAATGCTTAAGCTACGCCGAAGTCGGTTTATGGATAGAGGATACTACAACTACACTAACACTCATATATAGAACAAGGGATAATAGAGTCTACTAGGGGCAAAGATCCATTTTGAACGATTAATAAGCTAATGAGAAACCATTGATAACCAATCATGCAAAGAAAGAATTAAAATGGGAATTAATTACACTCAAGTGCAATCTCTCAAATTCCTAGTCTAAATCCCTCTATGACTAGGTGCACAAGAGAAATTAACCCAAAATGCAATCAAATACATCAATTTTAATTCACAATCCCTTGTCAAACTAGAACCAATATGCAATTAAATTTGCTATCATGGGAGATCAATCCAATCTAAAACAAACAACAGGCCATCATCAATTCAATCAATTTAATCACACAATTATCATCAAATTTATCTCAAATAACTCAATTAATCATTAGAAAACTTCACTCAACACCTAGTAGAAGGAAAACTATTCAAACATCATTAACAAAACAATTAAAGAAAGCATATAAAGAGAAAAGAGAGAAAGAATGCTCATTAATACAAGATGAAGATCTTCAAATCATCAAATTCCTCCTTTAATTATCCAAAATCCATGAAAACCATTGTGTTTCTCACTTTCTCTCTCCAAAATTTAAGATTTTCTCTCTCTAAAAACCTAAAACTAACCTAAAAACTACTGAGGAAATGAATTTCTCTTTCTAAAATGAGCAAAAAATCTATACCCTTACTAAATTTCCTAGGAAGGTCAGCAAAATGTCGAGTAGCGCGTATAGGGGCGGGCGCTCCAAAGGTCTTGCGCGAGCGCTCTTAGCTGCAGCAGACGGAGGTAGAATCGTTGCAGAAAGTTAGGGGCGGGCGCTCCTCTTAGACTGCGCGCCCGCTCCTATAGTGTTTGACAAAACTGCTCAGCTTCAAACAAATATATCTCCCTCGTTTTACATCAGAATTGGGCATATGACCTATCATTGGAAAGCTCTCAAGATAAGCTTTCATCTCCAATTAGAATCACTCAAAAATGTTTTTTAGATCAAAAGATATAGGCGTTTGAAGTTTGATCTTTGCAAATCAAGTGCACATTTCTTCATTACTTGTTCAATTATGTTTTATATTTCTTCAATCTTGAGCAATGAACTTATCCAAGTGTTCCTAAACATATAATAAACCAATAAAGTTTAATCTAATGCAAGAAGCAACCAAAATATGCAAGGAAAGCCAAAATTGAGCAATAATGATATTTCACACGCAAACACGACAAATGTAATAAAACGTTATTAAAACCAAGTAAAAAGATATCAAAACTATGAAAAAGTAAATAGAAAACTCTTAAAAATAGTGACATAAATGACACTTATCAGGCACATATATTTAGAGAAAATATGAGGGTATTGTAGGTAGTTTAGTGAATAAATACCAAAAAAATAAGGCTAATTTGGTATATTCATAGTGTCTAAAAATAGAAAATAGGAACATCATTTTAGGGCACTTAAAAAGGAAAATGGAAACTATATTTAGGGACGGAGGGAGAACTAACTTTGATCATCATTTATAAGTACCGTATTAGAATAAATTTTATCATGAAATATATTGTTAAATATATATTAATATAAGTATATAAGTTTTATATTATCAATTTTTTAAAGTATTTATTAATATAAATCACATATATAATCAAACTGGTGCATTGAAATGTGTACTAAGTTTGATTGTATCAATTATAACGGAGGGAGTATTAATAAACAAGATTGTTTCTCAAAATAACACAATCACTAGTAGAAATTTTGAAATAGGCACCCCCCTTTAGCACCGGTTCTTGAAAACCGGTGCCAAAAGAAATGGGCAGGATTGGAAAATTCAGAGTTGGCACCGGTTCCAACCAAAACCGGTGCCAACTAATCTAATTAGCACCGGTTCAAACCGGTGCCAACCAAAAAAAAAAAACGAAGAAAGCAATAGAGTTGGCACCGGTTCAGCTTAAACCAGTGCCCACTTTAGTAGTTAGCACCGGTTTGAACCGGTGCCTTTAAAAAAAAAACGGGCTTCTCAGCTCGTATTTCTCCTCCTTCTTTTCTTTCCCCCTGATTTTTCAACTTGTTTTTTCCCTCAGCTCGTTCTCACCTTCTCCATTGAAGCCGTTTTTGAGCTCTCTCACTCCATTGAAGCAGCTGCATGCACCTCCTTCTCTCTCCATATCTCTCCTCCATTAAACTCGTGCTCTCTATTCTCCATTGAAGCGCATTCTGAGTTTTCTCACCTCCATTGAAGCAGCTTCGAGGTAAGATTTGGGCCATTGTGGTCTTCTTAATCTACCGAATTTCTTCGCAACCTAGGGTTTGTCATTGATTTGGTTTTCAATTTTGTAATTTTAGGGTTCTGGTTTTATTTCTATTTTTTGTCAAACAAAATAAGTAGGAGAAGGAAGAGAGTAGGTCCTACCCGCCGCCACTCACCCTTCGCCGGCCACCCTCCGTTCCCCTCACCCGTCCTTCGTGCGTCGGCTACCGACCACCAGGTAATTTTTCTGATATTTTTCCTTAACACTAGATATCAGTTATCACCTGATATTTCTGAGCAATAATTATTATCAAAACTTGAGAGATTTTTTAACATTTTTGGGTAAAATTTCGTCTTTGAATTGATATAATCAATAATCGTAGTTGGTCGATATAATCATGCAAGGTAGAAAACCCAATTTGTTTGCCGAATTATTCAAATTTTGAGCGTTTACTGGAGTCGATTGATATAATCAATGAATCCTGCTAACACTGTTTTTGGTTGTTTTCTCTAATTTTTTTTCAATTTTTTGTTGCGATTTATAGTTTTTGGATTAGATATGTTTATTTTCTTGCTAATTCTGTATTAAATTGTTGTTTATATTTACGATTTTATTGTGATTTTTATTGCAGTTTTCTGGCAATGTTTAGTTGACTAAGACGGACGGACATTGATGCAGGTAGATGAATGGTGATTTTTGTGTGTGTGTGTGTATGTGTGTGTTGGGGGGGGGGGTTAGACCTTGTTTTGATCATTTTCTGCGCAAAAATTGTAGAGCAGTTCATAAAATGAACCATTAGGTGGTTTCTAAATATGCTTCACAATTTAGAATTTTGAAAATTTTGTAGCTTAAGCCTTTAACACTTCACAAACAAAATGCCTAAAGCCTTTATCACTCACTCTGTCAGACCTCAAGTCTTAATAAATCTCAATATATAACACATTGTTCTTCAAATTTTAATGCCTTTTTTTTTCCTCAAATTAACCCTGATATAAGATATTTGTAAGCTAAAAATGTGTATTGATCAAGTTTATCTGCTTAGTATGATGATTTGAAGGTGTTGAGGCCTCTTTTTATTCCTCAAAAAATGTTCTAGGTTATAATTATTTTAATTTGTTTACGCTAATAAGTCTAGAAAAGGGCTGGTAAGTTCAATTATAACTAAAAGTAAGTTTATGTTAGGGCCAATAAGTTGGTTAGTTTACATCAGATATGATTGGAGTTTCTAGGTGAAAAATACACAGCCTGAAAATTCTATCAGTTTTTGTTGATATATGAAGAAATGGCTCATGTTATAAATTGATAAACTTGTGCGTGAGAGGAAATTAGTTGGTGATTTAGACTCGTCTCTTGAGAAAAATAGAGAACACATGAGAACTTGTTGACCTCATTTATTCAACAGTAAGTATGATATGCCTTCTATGTATGTGGGTGAGAATCGGGTAGTATATTAATGGTTTTCATCATCTGTATATAATAGATGCGAATGTGGCTGGACTACATTGACGGAGACTGTACAGTTTACTTTGTCAGATCTATCATTTTATAATCTATGAAGATTGATTTACTGCTGATTTTCTGAATTTAATTGTGATTTTACTGTTGCTATGCTTGTCAAGAGACATGGTGATGGATTGCTACCTATTGATGACTACAACATTGAGCTTAAGGATCAAAGAGGGCAGAAGCTTAATATGGGTTCTGACAGATCAAAGGTATGTGTTTGCTGATTGCAAGCTACTGTATGCACCATCTGGAAGTCTCTCTTTAGTTTCAATTGTTGAGAAGCAACGCATGTGCGGAATTGCCTTATATTTTGTATATGACAGGGAAATAATGATGGGTCTTTGCTGCATACAAAGGGAAACAGCTAATGAGGGCATTAGGGGGGGTTGTTAAGCAAGGAGACATGTAAAAGCCGGTGCACTACTTTTCTGATTTAAGTTTGCATGCAAGCTTTTAAGCTTTATATTGTGGAATGTATGGAGTGCTATCCATGCATAATTCCAAGGCTATCCTGGTCATATTCAGGACCACGAAACTCAGAAGATGTTACCCTCAGTTTTGAACAATAAGGATTATATATCATCGATGTAAAAAGTAAATATACTAACTGTCTAGTTGATTAAGCTATCATTGGTGTAGGATATCCTGTTTAGAAGGAAACAGAATGCTAATGAGACACTCATGCTTGTCCCTCAAATGAAATGTATTGTTGGCTCTGCAGCTTAGATTGCCCATGATCCGCTCACTAATCTTAGCTCTTAAGACTGCAAGAATATGAGGTAAGAAAGGGTGCACAAACTTGCATTTGTCCATTTGAAATGCATGTACTTGCTGTATGGGAATTGCACATGATTACTAGGGTTCTACATTGCTAATTAGCAAGAGTGTGTTCCCCAAGTCTGTCAGCCTCCTGTTGATAGAACCCACTGTATGGCAAGTTAAGTATCATTTTTTACCTTTATAAATTCTAATGTCTTTATAAAATTATTTGAGTGAATCAACAGAGGACTAGCATAGCCTATTCTCTAAATCTTATCTCATATAATTTCATATTTCCTCCATTCCTCAATTGATGCATCTCTTTCCTTTTTGGGATGTTTTACAATAGATGCATCCCTTTTCCTTTTAGTAAAAAATTATTTGCAAAATTTTTGCCCTGAACTTAAGTGAGGACCAACTCCATTTTTACTTTACATGCTATGGCTAAAGGTTAACACATAAGCAATTATGTTAATTTCCCTACTCTGTCTCTCCTTTCTATTGGTTTGTGTGCCAACTCTCAAGGATGCATCAATTGAGAAACTAAGGAAGTAGTTTATTATCTTTCTGGCAAAAAGGGGATGGCTACCCTAAAGTCCCAAACACGACTAGGCTATTATAGGGCTTATAAACTTTGGTATAGCCTTGATTATCAATATATCATGTTAGAGACTAGAAAGGTGATGCAGGGCACAATTTTATGTTTCATTTTTTGTTTGGCTTGTATCTGTACACCATTCTGCTAATGTTCGCTGAGTTGTCCTTTAATTTTAGCATTACCATTGTTTGCTCCCCATTTGACTGTTACTCTTTGTTGTAGTCTTATCTTGTATTTTGACTGTCTGATTCACAAGACTGATGTATGTGTAGTGCAAAGCATTTGCTGGCAGAGACAAAACTGGAACATGATGAAGCTTTACTATCCCAAGAGGCTGATGCTGATTATGTCATAGAAGTTTCAGGTGCGATCAACAGTAATGCAGCATTTTATAGGTTAGTTTCATGACTTTTGTCATTCTGTGTTTCAACTGATTGCCCAACTAGCTGAAGCAAAAGTTAATGATTATAATAGTGGTTATCAGGGGTATGATAGTAGTAATTGGTATAATGGGGCCTCAGTTGAGGAGATGGCTTCGACAATGCCGGTCAGTGGGGTTGATAGCTTTGCTAGTTTGGTGGGAGGAGAAGAAAGGATCAACCACCGGCTGAAATTATTGAGGTGAAGCAGGATGAATTGATGAAGAACCGCCCAATTGGGGATAAATCTAAGCTTATTGGAATAGCATTTGGACCTTCTTATCAGGTATATCATATTTTATAACCCTGTGTACTTTAGATTTTGCTATTTGATTGTTATTTCTTGATTGTTGGCTTGCTGCTTATGTTATTAGTTCCTTAATTGGTGAATTGTGATTGTAACTGTGTGTTTATTGGGTTGAAAGTTGACTGCTTTGGCAGTTCAGAGTCCTTCACTTTACATATGGGAAAAATGTGGTCAGACTTTTTTCTTTGGTACTGAATTTTCCTTTTCTGCGGTAGCTGAGTTACTCCATGGATCCTATGGGAAAAATTGCATCCTTTTTAAACAAAATAGTTTCGTGAATTATAGTAGTGGTTATGATGACAACTCTGAAATGTTTAGGAAATCAGAATCCTATAAACTTCGTATTGGAGTATGGCATTTGGAAGATGGTTCCCATCTTAGTTTAATTGAATCACACCCTGGCTATTCTAATCTATTTTGGCCGCCTCCATCTTGGATTTGGACGAAAGACAAGTATGTTTTCAGTCGTGGTTTGATTGGTTTCTGTTCTTTACTATGATTAGCTGTTTTGTGATTAATTCTTCTATTATATTTCTCATTGAAGTACCATATCGGAAATCGCCGCTGCACTTTTGGTCCTGCGCTCTTTCCTTTCAATGAATCTCTAACAATACAAGAACATAATCTTCCATTTATATACACCAAATCAGGCATAAACTCATAGGTAGTTTAGGTTATTATCCATTTGGCTCTTGTTTCCCTAGATTGTTTAAGTTGCTTTATAAAAAAAAAAAAAAGGTGGAAGCGCATTTGAGACTTTGCTTACTGCTAGGAGCAAGGTATATTTTTGGACTAATTTGCTGACGTTTAAGACTTTGCTTTGAATGATACATTTGTAAAAATACTGTTACATTGGATTCTGAATAAGCTGTTTTTGGTGGATTTCTTTTAGAAATGTTGAAACCAAAGTGCTGATTATGCTTGGATTACCATGCATGCGTAGTTATCTCTTAAGATCTTGGTAGGCATTCATTATGGGTGGATTTCTTTTCTACTATGGACTGAAAACTATCCAACCCTATGTCAATTTCTTAAGAATTAATTCAATTTTAGTAAAGTTGGCAGAGTATCAATCGGATGTGCATGTAATAACTGGATGATATTGTTTGGGCTATTTTGTTTAGGTATATGACTAATTCTAAGTTAAATGTTTATTAGCAATCTATTTGAAGTTGAAAAATGGTGTTACTGTTTACTGTCTTCTTTCCTTGGGTGAGTCGTGAAGCTACTATTACTAGACTCATTTTATGGAAGAAGTTTATTTTGCAGTTTGTTATGGAACGGGTCAATAAGGTCAACAAAGCTATCGGACCAATTCAACCACCACTTTTGGTGTACTCCAGGCGCGCAAAACAGGGGCAGCAGCAAGGGTCAATTGTGAGAAGGAACAATGAACAACAGGACAAGGCCAATTAAGGGGAAGTTGAGGAAAGAAGGCAGCCTCCTTTAATCATAACCTTTGTGGGTTTCTATTTTAGTTAATTAATGTCACATGTTCTAGTTAAGTCTTGAGTATATGTATTGTAGTTAGGGGACAGTAGAGACCATCGAGAAATTAGTGAAAATACATGAGAGACTTGTGGCCTCAAGCTACTGTGAGATTCATAACCTCAAGTTATGCCTATCCCTTGTAATTCAATCATCAGTGAATCAAATACTCAAGTTTAAGCCTTGGTTCTTGCAAATTGTCTTAAATTATAATTGCAATAAGTTAGTCTATTACAAACTTGGTATCAGAGCGGTGGTCCTGCGGCCGTGGTCACCGGAATCCACCACCCCCCTTTTAAGCCAAAAAAAAAAAAAAAAAAAAAAAAAAGGGGAGATGGAAAACAGCACCTCGCAGAGGGTGGACGCCCTGGAGGGAACGCTGGCAGACCTGAAAGCCCAGATGGCTACCATCGTGGAGAAACTACAAACCCCGGACGACAACCTGTCGCGAGCAGTAACAGCAGCCGTAAGGGCTGCCATGGAGGAGGAGAGACAAAAAATCGCGGAGGAAAGGAAGAAAACCGAGGAGAACGTAACAGCCGCCGTTGATAAGGTGGAGGAACGTTTGATTCGCTTCCGATCCACGGTCGATACACAAGCCGCAATCGATCGCCAGAAGATCACCAAATTGCAGGAGGAACTGGAGAAAACGAGGCAACCTCAAGCACAAGGAATGCAGCAACCTATTCCGGTGGTGGAAGAGAACAGCCCGCGATTGGGTGGAGGGAATAACCTCACGCCAGGTAGAGAGAAGCCGTACGAAGAGCAAGACTGGCCGCACTTTGAACAAGGGGATTGGCGCTGGAGAGGAGCCGGAGAGGGCGGCGGCGGTCACTGGAAGCACCGGAAGTTGGAGATGCCACTCTTCGACGGGTCAGACCCCGATAATTGGACGGCGAGGGCCGAAATGTACTATGATTTTTACAAATTGACGGAGAAGGAAACGATGGAGGTAGCGGTAGTGGCGATGGATGGAGCCGCTCTGAAATGGTTCCAGTGGGAGCAAAAGCGGCGGCCTTTTTATGGGTGGCCAGACCTCAAGCAGAGGGCCTTGAGCGAATTCCGACCTTCCCACTCGGGAACGCTCCACGAACAGTGGCTGGCGGTGACGCAAGAAGGGTCGGGGTCGGTGGCAGAATACCGTCGGAAATTCATTGAGATGGCGGCGCCGCTAGAGGACGTGCCGAAGAGTATCATGTTAGGGCAATTCATCCACGGGTTGAACAGGGAAGTGAAATCGGAGCTGAGACTCCTCAACCCGCCTAACCTTGAAAGAGCCATGGAAATGGCAGGAAGAATAGAAGAGAAGAATCGGGTTCAGCTGGGAAAGAAGCCATTAAGTAATTGGAGAGGTGGGTCAACGGCTGGGCCCTCAAACTCGGGCCCAATGCAAGGCAACCCAACCTTCAGTAAAGGAGGCCTCATAGCTTCCTACGGGCTACCCAGCAGCAGTGGGCCGCCCAAACCCTGGCCCAAGGCTCCTGAGTCCCAAGGGTCCGTGAATTTGGGCCGGGCCACGTCGGGCCCAAGTCAAAGTGTTTCCGGGGTTACGAGGAGGTTGACCGAGAGTGAGTTAGCAGAAAGGAGGACAAAAGGGTTGTGCTTTAAGTGTGATGAAAGGTGGGGTGTAGGGCATCGTTGTAAGAGAAAGGAGCTTAGTGTGTTGTTAGTCGCGGAGGGTGAAGTCGAGTTGGAGGACGAAGGGCCGGAGTTGGGAAGTGACACCCTGTCGGAAGAAGTTGGAGGCATGTCGTTGTGCTCGGTGATCGGGATACACAACCCAAAAACGATGAAGTTGAGGGGAGTAGTAAAAGGGCAAGAAGTAGTGGTGATGATTGATCCCGGGGCTACTCATAATTTTTTAGCTATTTCGGTAGTCGAGCAAGCGGCCATACCCATCTCACAAGGTGGGGAATTTGCGGTATCCTTAGGAAACGGGGATACAATTCGTGGTAGAGGAGTGTGTAAGGGAGTCAAGGTGGAATTGAGGGGAGGTATCACCGTTATTGAGGATTTTTTTCCTCTCACTTTAGGGAGTGCCGAGGTAATTTTAGGAGTTCAATGGCTCGAGAAGTTAGGTCCGGTGGTGACTAATTGGCGTACTCACATCATGAAGTTCAACATCGGAGGTGTGCCGGTGACCCTTACCGGAGACCCTACTCTCGAAAAGACCCAAGTTTCGTTAAAGGCCATGGTGAGGGTGCTTAAAAAAGAGAAGTTAGGCCTTTGGGTCGAATTCAACCAAGCTGAAACACAAGAAATGGGCCCAACTGAAGTTAGCCCACCTTCTTACTTGATGAATGTCTTGGGCCAATTTAAAGGGGTCTTCAATATGCCTAATGGGCTGCCACCAGAAAGGGGCCATGAGCATTCCATTGTTCTTAAAGATGGGGTCGACCCAATTAGTGTGAGATCATATAGATTCCCACAAATTCAAAAGGATGAAGTTGAAAGGCTTATCCGGGAAATGCTCGAATCCGGGATTATCAAACCGTCTTCTAGCCCCTTCTCAAGTCCGGTTTTACTCGTGAAAAAAAAAGATGGCTCGTGGAGGTTTTGTGTAGATTACCGGGCCCTCAACAAGGAAACCGTTCCCGATAAATATCCAATCCCGGTTATTGATGAGCTATTAGACGAGTTACATGGAGCAACGGTTTTCTCCAAGCTCGATTTGAAATCCGGTTATCATCAAATCCGGGTTCGACCGAGCGATACTCACAAGACGGCTTTCCGGACACACGAGGGGCATTATGAGTTCCTCGTGATGCCTTTCGGCCTCACAAATGCGCCGGCGAGGTTTCAATCACTTATGAACGACGTTTTTCGGCCATATTTAAGGAAGTTTGTTTTGGTCTTTTTCGATGATATTTTAATATATAGTAAGGCAGCGGAAGAGCACGTCCATCATTTACAGTTGGTCCTTCAAAAGTTGGAAGAAAATCAATTATATGCAAATTATAAGAAATGCGAATTTGGGAAGGGTGAAATTGCATATCTTGGTCATGTCATATCGAAGCAGGGAGTTTCCATGGATGGAGATAAAATTCGATCCATTGTAGAGTGGAAAACCCCGAGGAATCTCCGTGAGCTTAGGGGATTTTTGGGATTAACGGGTTATTATCGCAAGTTTGTCAAACACTATGCTCAGATTGCCGGCCCCCTCACGGCTCAATTGAAGAAAGAAAATTACGGATGGACGGAAGAAGCCACGGCAGCGTTCCAGAACCTGAAGACCGCCATGACCACAGCCCCGGTCCTGGCTGTCCCCGATTTCCGCGAAGGTTTCGTGGTGGAAACCGACGCCTCCGAATACGGATTGGGGGTAGTAATGATGCAGCGAGATCGCCCAATTGCTTTCTTTAGTAAACTCTTGGGGGTGCGAGCTCGGGCCAAATCGATTTATGAGAAGGAGTTAATGGCTATCTCATTGGCGGTGGCGAAGTGGCGCCATTATCTATTGGGTCGATCATTCGTTGTGCGCACGGATCAGCAGAGCCTCAAGTACTTAACTGAGAAGTGAGTAGTGAATACCAGAGGTGGCTTCGGAAACTCGTGGGGTTCGATTTCACCATTCAGTATAAACCGGGCACCGCCAACAGGGTGGCTGATGCGTTGTCACGCAAGGATGAAGCTCTGGTTATCAAACCAGTGAAGGGGACGAAGAAAGAAGATGAAGTGGTTGAGTTTGGGTCTTTAGTTCACTCTTGTTATGTGGACTGGACTGATCTTGAGAAGGAGTTGGAGAATGATAAAGGATTGGGCCAGATTATGTTGGGCTTGAAACAAGGGAAAGAAGGGCCTAAAGGGTTTCACATTGAAGGGGATAGACTCTTTTATAAAGATCGTATTGTATTGCCTAACCATTCAAAATATATTGCTTTACTTTTGCAGGAGTATCACAGTACCCCCATTGGTGGCCATGACGGTGAGCTCAAGACCTATCTCCGACTCACCGCCGATTGGTTTTGGGCCGGGATGAGAAAAGATGTGGCTAAATTTGTTCGGGAATGCGATGTTTGTCAACGAAGCAAGACTATCACTAAGCGGCCGTTGGGATTGCTCCAACCGCTCCCTATTCCCGAGGCTGTTTGGGAGGAAATTTCAATGGACTTCGTGGAGGGTCTTCCCTTATCCCGAGGAAGCGACGCGGTGTTAGTAGTGGTGGATCGCTTGTCGAAGTATGCCCATTTCATTGGTCTCAAACACCCCTTTAACGCCCTCAAAGTAGCAGATTTCTTTGTCAAAGAAGTTGTCCGACTTCATGGATTTCCGGCATCCATTGTGTCAGATCGAGATCGAGTCTTCATGAGTATATTCTGGAAGGAGTTGTTTCGATTGCAAGGAACGCATCTCCGAAGAAGCACGTCCTACCATCCTCAAACCGATGGTCAAACGGAGATCGTGAACAAGAGCCTGGAGATGTATTTGCGATGTTTCATTGCGGAAAAACCAAAGAGTTGGGCTCGATGGCTCCCGTGGGCGGAGTATTCTTATAACACCTCACCCCACACCTCTACTAAGATGACACCTTTTCGAGTGGTTTACGGGAGAGATCCACCCAAGCTGTGGCGTTTAAGGGCTGGTCAAACCATGGTTAGCAGTCTTGAAGAAATGTTAATGGAGAGGGATGCGATATTGGACGAGCTACGATTGAATTTGAACCGAGCCCAGCAAGTAATGAAGGGTTACGCGGACAAACAAAGGAAGGATGAGGAATTTTCGATTGGGGAAAGAGTGTTCCTTAAATTGCAACCTTATCGTCAGAAATCACTTGCGAAGAGACCATTTGAGAAGTTGGCTGCCAGATTCTATGGGCCTTTTGAAATTTTGGAGCGCATTGGCAGAGTAGCTTATAAACTACAACTACCACCACATTGCAAGATCCATCCCGTGTTTCACATCTCACAACTCAAGCGAGCATTAGGGGACTCTACCTGCCCGCCCACGATTCCACCCCAACTCTCCCCCGACTTGGAATTGTTGGTGGAACCAGCAGAATTGCTTGAGGTGCGCACCATTAAGAAAGGACCTGTTTTCGTGCTTGAAGTGCTGCTCACTTGGAAGGGTTTGCCAGCGCATGATGCTACTTGGGAAGAGTTCGATGCAGTCAATGAGCGTTTTCCCTCCTTCCACCTTGAGGACAAGGTGAAGCTCACAGGGGGGAGTGATGTTATGGAACGGGTCAATAAGGTCAACAAAGCTATCGGACCAATTCAACCACCACTTTTGGTGTACTCCAGGCGCGCAAAACAGGGGCAGCAGCAAGGGTCAATTGTGAGAAGGAACAATGAACAACAGGACAAGGCCAATTAAGGGGAAGTTGAGGAAAGAAGGCAGCCTCCTTTAATCATAACCTTTGTGGGTTTCTATTTTAGTTAATTAATGTCACATGTTCTAGTTAAGTCTTGAGTATATGTATTGTAGTTAGGGGACAGTAGAGACCATCGAGAAATTAGTGAAAATACATGAGAGACTTGTGGCCTCAAGCTACTGTGAGATTCATAACCTCAAGTTATGCCTATCCCTTGTAATTCAATCATCAGTGAATCAAATACTCAAGTTTAAGCCTTGGTTCTTGCAAATTGTCTTAAATTATAATTGCAATAAGTTAGTCTATTACACAGTTACTATGTAGAGCAACTGATATAGTGTAAATGTGAATCATTTCGTAGAACACCTTGAGTTTTATTTTTAATGTCACCTATTTAACTTTTTTTTAATTGAAGTTTTGGCATACTCATTCTACCTTGCTTTGGAGTATGTTTGGATAGCGGCTTGTTTGTTCATTGAAGATTAGCTGATTATGCATGCATTGCTGACAGTTGAGAGAATTTGGGTCAGCTGTCTGTTGATAGTGTGAACAGCTTGATCTCCGATATCTAAGATTTGGCAGGTTTATTGGATTTAATGTAATGAATCAGCTAGAACTTAGGCGAAACTTAGGTGATGTGTATGAATAATTTGCTGAAACTTGCAAGTCCTGGTGCTGTGCACTGATGTTCACAGGTTTCTGCCGTCGTAGGGAGGGTAGTATTACTCTTGGTTAGATAGGCTATGCTCCTCGTACCCGGAGGCTAGTTTGCTTGGCTTGGACCAGTCGTTATGTCTACCAATGTTCTGGAATTTAGAACAAATAATGTGTAAATTCCGTACTGCTAATATACTCAAGTAAGAGTTGACTTGTGAACTGTTCTCATGTACTATGCAAATCTCATTTCCTTTCCAGAAGGCTATTTCCATACTGTCATTTGTAATGCACAGGAGTTTCGAAACACAACTGTTAATACTGATCTCCATTTATTGATCAGACTATTGGAATTCATCTTTGATTATTGTTCATGTATTTACTCAGTTTGTTAATTTTTTTTTGTGTACGTTTTGCCTTTAGCAAAACTGTTGAGTGCTTAAGCATAGCAAAGGAAGAGAAACAAATTCCGAAGGAAGAGCAGCCACCAGCACAAGACAGCCTGCCTAAACAGAAGCAAAATCAATCACCCAGCCAGCTTGAACAGAGCAGAAACACAGCCACAGAAGCAGAACAACCACAACCATCAGAGCAGAAACACAGCCACAGCCACCAGGGTAGAAACACAGCCAGCAGAGCAGCCACCAGCACAAGACCAGGACATCTAGTTAAATGAAATGCAAGAAAGGTCGATCAGAGATAAGTCTAGATTATTTATTTTTTTTTGGACGAAAATTGTAATATTACAGCCTTTTTTAATGAAAATATTTAACTTTATATATATGTTAATGTTTCTATATCAATTTAAGTGAAAAAAAATGCAAATATATATTTTTTTTTTGGGGGTATTTTTGGCACCGGTTTTGACCAGAACCGGTGCCTATAGTGGGGTTTCTTGCACCGGTTCTTGCTTTGAACCGGTGCCAATAGTATTGAATAAAAAAAAAAATCGCGCCATGGTAGTTGGCACCGGTTAACCGGTGCCAAAGCATGTAGTTGGCACCGGTTAACCGGTGCTAAATGCTTTAGTTGGCACCGGTTTTGAACCGGTGCCAAATTTTCATGAATTTGGCATCCCTCAAATACCCAACGGTTCAAAACCGGTGCCAAAGGGGGGGGTTTGAACCGGTGCCTTTTTATCTTTTTCGTCTAGTGAATAGTAAATAAAACCAAAATATTTTAATATTCTACTTCGTATATTTTCTGCCGTATTTTTTACCCTTCTTCCTCCATATTTTTATCCTTCTTCGCGAATCACCATTGAAGCCACTTTCCCCCTCCATTGAAGCAAATCGCAAACCACCTTTTCGCCACCATATACATATCCAACATTGAATTAAACGAAAATCTAAAGAAAAAATAGAAAAATAAGAGCATGATTAACTCCAAAAAGGCAAGGTTGTTGTTAGGGGTGTAAATGAGTTAATACATTCGTGAACTACTCGCGAACAAGCTCTGTCAAAGTTTGGTCAAAACTCGTTTGTTAAGCTAACAAACAAGCTTGAACAAAAATCTTAAGCTCGTCAAATAGATGAACAAAGTTCGAACAACATATCATGTTCGACTCGGTAATATTCATGAACAGCTCGTTTTAGTCCATTTATTAGTTTTTCACGCCAAGTAAAACTCAGATAAATTATGTAAGAAGTAACTTTTATTCATACATATTTGTAAGAAATACTAATTATTTCATCATGTAAAGGCATGCATGAAAACTCCGTTATTACCTTTTTCTATAGAAAGAATAAAAACATCTTATATAAAATTATATGCATGTATTAAAATTTGAAAGAAGCCATTTTTTAATGATAAATTAGGGCTCGTTTATTTAACCAAACCCGATTTAAATCCGTTCAAGCTCGAAATTAAACCCAAAATGTAAACGAGTACGTTCATGAACAAAGCTTGAACAAGCCAAATTCTTAACGATCCCATCTCGAACAAGATTTTTAAAAGCTCGTTCAAGTTTGAGATAGTTCGAACACGAATAGTTTTTATCAAGCTTAGCTCGAACAGATTAAAACTCAGCTCGGCCCAGCCCATTAAAAAAATATCTTAAATTATAATAAGTATTTCAATATAAATTATAAATTGTGCAAGGAGGGTTTATCACTCGCATTGCAACTTATCTAGGATAAAATGAAGAACTCAAAAGAGATGGCTTTGTAGATGGGATCAATGCAGTAGAAATTCCTTCTAGTTGGTTGAAAAAGAAAGATGGCACCACCCTTTAGTACACTCATAAAGACGAAGATGCACTCCCCTCTCCCGAGCAATGTCTTTAAAGGATATGAATAATTGGTCCTTTACTCATTCTTCATCGAGAGACCAAGTTTCATTGCTCCCTGAGCCACGCGTTTCATCATCTCCTCTTGAAGGTGCTAGAGTTTCTCAATGTTGATTGAACAAGCACTTACAAAATTGCAAAAGTTTGTTGATGAAATCAAAGTTGAGCAAAAGGAAATCAAGGATCAATTGGCTTCTATATCGAAGACTTTCACTAACTTTGGTGTTTGGTTGTAGTCTCAAGGGTTTCAAAACCCTCCTCTTCCCCCTTAATGAGGGTTTGTGAGTATCCTCTCTCCTACTTATCTTTGTGCTTAACCTTTGCTATGTGGACATTGCAAGATTCAAGTGTGGGGGAGGGTATTATTCATTGTATATATTAGAGTTTGCTTTAGTAGTTTATAGTTGTCTTATTATTATCTTGATTTTCCATTCCAAAATGTGAAACAACACATTTTCTATTTTTTTCATGAATTGATTGGCATTGACTTGAGTAATTCGATAAGTAGTATAAATCCTTTTAATGACAATTGTTTATGGTAAGATGGTTTTGCTTTCCTCTTGTGCGATAAGTACCTATTGGAGGGCCACAAACCTCGTAAGACTCAATTCGAATGTCTTCTTTCTTGATTGCCCCAATTGAGACTTGCATTTTAGCTTCTTGAGATCGATTACCAAATTGTTTAGGAAATATGATCGAGGCATATTTTTGATATTTAGAGCTTTTAGAGTCATCTTTAGGAATTTTTCTTTATAATATGTTACATCCCTTTCTTGATAGCCACTTTGAGCCTTATTTCTTTCTTGACTACCCTTGTGTTACAAGATTACGGTTTCGTAATGCATTATTTGGATAAGAAAAGTATTTTGCTAAGGCATGTTGATTTGTATGATGAGTTATTTGAAGGAAGGTGTTATGAAAAAAAAAAAGAGAGAGAAGAAAAAGTGAATAAAGATATGATATAAAAAAAAAAAAAAAGGAGCAAGTATTGAAAAATAATAAGAAGAAATACAGAAGGGTGAATGTTAATGTTGAATTAATGGAGTTGATAAGGAAGAGTAATGCGTTCATTGTTGGCGATGTGATGTTTGATCTCATTAATCTCATGGTTGATGTTTCTTTATTCCTTGCATATTACATTCAAGGATGTTATGTATGAGTTCTATTGGATTGATTTTGAGCACCACATTCCCAAATTTACATCTTTCTCACCCTATCACCTGAGCTTACCCTTTAAAAGTCCTCTTGATTTTCCTTGCAATTTGGTCCTTCTACCGGTGGAGGGTAAGATTTTGTGCAAGTCTTGACGAAGGTCATCAAATTGAAGGGAGGTATGAGCTAATATGGTTGAGCATCCTTGGGGAAGGTTCAAACTTGGGGAAAGGAAGCAGTAAGATTGGTTGGTTATTGAAGGGTGCTACAATTTATTGTTTCATCCATGTCTTTGATTTATGATACATAAATTGAGTCTTGAAATAAAATGATTTTTGGTTTTCAATCTAATCACTTGGTTGAACAAATTGATTTGTAAGTTCTTGATTTGGCTTTGTAGGTACGCCTTCTGAAAACCTTCACGAGACCATACTCGTCCACTAGGGTAGCCTAGGGGTTTTAAGGGCTTGTTGCATATGCCAAATGCAATCGTGATTCCTACAACAGTGAGTTTAGGATTTATTGCTTTCTAGGTTAGTTTTGGTTTTTTTTTACTCGAGGACGAGTAAAGGTTAAGTGTGGAGGAGTTTGATAAGTCCTAATTTGTACACATTTTAGGTGCATATCTACACTTAATTGCTTATAGATTTGGAGGTCTAAGGTGTATTTTTACATTATTTGCTTAGGTTATGCTCTACTACTCTCCGTTTATGTGTTTTGATGAATTTCAGGTGATTTAATTGCAAAGATTATGGTTGGCTAATCTTGAGTATAATAATCATGGAGTATGAATCTATCTCGCTCAAGGATCTCAATCTTCGAGAGGAAATAAGGATAGAAAGAAGCAAAGGCGTTGATGAAAGACTTGACGAATATGAGTCCCGTCCACTATTTTGATCATAACTTTTATCTACAAATGATATTGGAGTGATTCAAATTTCATTCGAAATTAGACTTCAAGAGCTTTCCAAAGATATATCACACATCTCAAACAAAGCTCTGGATAGCACGTTATAACCGTTTTAAGATGAGCTACGCGTGCAGCAGCGAGACACAAACGTGTCTCATGCTAGCAAGTCCATGCCTGGACGAATAAAACATCTTATTAGCGGATTAAATCCCTAATTCTATCTTAATTCCTAGATTTATTATAAATACTCCTTGGCTTTATTATTTCATAACCCCATTAGCCATTAGTTTAGAACCCTAGTTTTCTCTCTAGTTTTATTCACTACTACATTTTTGACCTAATGCAACGGTAAAGACAAAGCTAATACAACGGCTCATCTATTACCGTTAACGGCAACATGTTAATTATATCAAAAAGTGGGCAAATACAACAGATTAAATCCCACCTCATTTTTCCCCAATTATTCCTCCCTACGCGCGATACCCAGGCCATATTTTTCCCTAATTTTCATTTTTTGCTTTGCCTTCATGAATCATTTTTAGCTCTGCTTTCACGAATCATTCTGCTTTACATTTAATTTCGCCCAGCTATGTTCACAAATTCACATTTTTTTCCCAATTCACGATTCGCTGGCGGTAGCGGCGGTGGTGGAGAAGGAAGGCGCTGGCGGTAACGATGGTGGTGGCTGATTGCTCGACTCTTGCATGTCACAAATTTCCTCGGATCTTTTAAGGTATACCTCAATTTGCTCGAATCTCTAGTGTCTTTGTGTTTAGGGTTTGTGTTAATTGGGAAGGACTCCTAAAATGGAGTCTATCTCACTCCGATGGTACTCAACCTTTAAGCCAATTAAAGTATCTCATCTTTCCCTCTTTGTTTTCTTCAATTTATTATCACCAGTCTTTGAATTTGATATTAATGTATTCAATCGTTGTTCCGAATGTGAATTTGGGTTTTCCTATAATAATGTATTGATTGCTGGTTTTGCAAACCTTTTCGTGTTTATTGAGTGCCGGGTTTTGAATTGAAATCGGTTGTTCTGCTATAGACTGTTCTTATGATTTTTTGTATAAATGGTGATAAAGAAGTTGTTTAGCTATTTTGAAAATGAAAGATTTCTACTTATTAGAACTATCAACCTACGTATACTGAATTTAAGATTACGCAGTTACTATGCGGCAGATGATGGAGTGATTGCAGCTTTTGCTTTATCTCTAGCAGTACTGTTGTAGCCTTTTAAATATGAAGTTGTTCTGGTGTTTGTGAAGTTATATCAGTATTGTTTTGCATTGAATTGTTCTAGTATGCTGATAGACTATTTATGCGAAGTATTTCATACTAAGCAGTCGTAAATGAGTAGTTGATAAGGTACTTGGTGTCTCTCATTTTGCTTGCTGCTTTTTCTTTATGTTCTGTTTTATCTCTTGTCCCTTTGAATGCTCCCAGATCTCAACATCTTGTCTAGTAGAAAGAAAATGAGTAAACCTAAATTGAAGAAATGTTGTTTAATTTATAATGATTTACTTTGTCATCAAGAGTATGCTTCTTTAATGTTTTTGGGGGCCTCAGTGCTAGAGCTTCATTTAATAAATGCCTACTCTTTTAATGGGACATTGATTAAATATTCCACAACAAAAAGGACTGGGTAAAATAGGAAGATGATTGACTAAGCCCGAGTCCAGTCTGTAGAACTAAATGTTAATTTTGCTTTGACCCAAGTGAGCTGCGTTTTTTGGTGTTTCTATTTCTGAAGAACCTATTTTGAGAGAACTTGTATTGATGTACGTTTAGTCAAAGCCAAAAAATTGAAGGCACCACAGTTCTTAAACTAATATGTTCGTATGTTTGTCTTTTCCTCCCTCCACCTTGTTTCTTTCCCTGCTTGTTTTAGTTTCTCTATCAAATTTATGTTGGCCTTTTTTTGTACAAACCTTTTAACTGGATGCTTTATTTTCATATTTTGAAAGGAAGTTCTTATTCCATTGTACCAAAACTAGAACAAAGGTGACTTTTGGACATTAGACAACTGCATAGGTGTCGTTAGAAATGAAGAGTTGTCGATCAATTCTAATTATTCAAGAAATTGCACTTGCCTTGTCACTGTAGTGTATGTTGTTGCTAATACGTAAGTCGAGTTGTTATGTTGTGTATAAATTGAATCACCAACCTTTTATGCTATCTTGTTAGGAAAGTGAGAGAGTTGTTACAAAGAAAGAGGGAATCGACTTTTCTAGAGATTATGGATGCTTATTTATTGAATGCAGCGCAAAAACTCGTGTAAATGTGCAGCAATGTTTTGAAGAGCTTGTATTGAAGGTGAGGTTTTCTTGCTGTTTTTTCATTTCATTTCTAATTTTTTGCGCTGTGTTTGAAGTAATTATATCTGGATCTTCTTTGCTGACAGTTATCATCAACTTATGAATTCCTATACTGCATTTGTAATTAGTTAGTATAATTTCATCCATTTGTGTTGCCTCTTAATTTTGGTGTATAACACAAAAAAGGAAGGAATTTAGGGTTCTCACAATTTTTTTCCTATACCGACATATGTTGTTGTTTCTTGTTCCTTGTTGAGCCAAAGATCATTCTTACAGTCTGGTGCAAAACGGCCAATCAGCAGATATTTAGGTTACATTTGGACATGTACTCGTGTCTGACACAGTGACCCTAGCACCTGAGTCAGTAACAACAAGAGCTCACTTTCATTTCTGTTTTTTGTGTCCGTTATAGGGCTGAGCTCTTTATTCTAACCCTTTTGGTTTACTAGATGCTAAAAATTAGATCCTTTAAAAGTCATTAGTACATATGTACTCATATTATCATACATCAATTAAGTGGCCCATGAACTCCTTTTCAATTTCTTAATTACAATGACATTTTGCTTCATATTGTAAAGACCAATAATAACGTTTGTCTTGCGGTAATGTTTGTATAAATTGCAATAAACAAAGTCTATTGTTAATTTTCCTCTTCTAGGGATTGAAGTTAGAAAATTCTTTGCTAAAATTCCACTAGTTCACATTTTTTTTTGTTTTGAGAAAGTATATATGGAAACGATCAAAGTCGTTACCACTCACTAAAGAGTCACGCAGTGGAGATTGTGGAGAATTCTTTTATGTATGATAGTAAAGTGATAATACTCCGTAGTGAAGGTTACTTGATGTGTTTGTCTGAAATACAAACTGAAATAGAGTGATATGCTTGTCATTCTTTTAATTTAACTTTTTTTTTTTTCATTTTAGTTTTTGTGACTTAGATAAAATAACTCTCTGAATTCGAACCCGAAAGAATGGATGGTGGAACTAAGAATTGGTGGATGTTTTCCAAATGGAGTGATGAATATGAACGGGGAGTAGACGAATATGTCAAAAAGGCTTTTGCTACTAAGTCTCAAGGAAATCAAATATGTTGTCCTTGTTCACTTTGTCATTATCGTTTTTGGCGTGATGAAGGTGTTGTGAGAGATCACCTAATTTGTAATGGTTTTGTTCCAAGAACGGATAAGTTATCAGTTTTAGGGATCAATATCCAAAGAGAAGAAACTATTTTGGATAGGGATGAAGGGTCAAACCCAAATGAGTCTGACAATGACATAGTAGGGTTGTTGCATGATGCACGTGATGCTTTTAAAGAGGGGCCAAATGATGAGGCAAAAAAGTTTTTGAGGTTAGTTGAAGAAGGCCAAGAAGAATTGTATCCTGGTTCCAAAATCATTCAAAACTTTCCTTTATGATTCGCCTTTTTATTTTGAAGTGTGATCATAAGCTAACCAATGCTGCATTTGGAGATATATTGGAGCTTATAAGGGAGGTGTTTCCTGATGCAAAGTTGCCTACTTTTAATGAAGCGAAAAGTGTTTTGAAAGTGTTGGGGTTGGATTATACAAAGATCGATGCATGTCCAAATGATTGCATGATACATTGGGAAGAGCATGAAAATGCAACAAGCTGCCATGTTTGTAAAACGCCAAGATGGAAATCAAAGGACAAGGAGAATGAGATACAAAATGATAATGGAAAGACCTATAGGATTCCTCAAAAGATTCTTAGGTACTTTCCGATAAAGAAAAGGCTTCAATGACTGTTTATGTGTCAAGAGACGGCGAGATACATGACTTGGCATGCCGATGGGCGTGAAAGTGATCATCTTTTACATCATCCAGCTGACGGTCAAGCTTGGAAGGAATTTGATTCCTTATATAAAGAGTTTGCCGATGATTCGCGCAATGTGAGGCTAGGGTTAGCCACAGATGGCTTTAGCCCGTTCAACTCAATGAGCATTGTTATAGTACCTGGCCAGTTATGTTGATCAATTATAACTTGCCTCCTTGGATGATTATGAAGCCTGAGTTTTTGATGTTAGCATTACTAATTCCGGGTCCTTCTTCCCCAAGCAATGACATTGACATATATTTGCAGCCACTAATGAAGGACTTGAAGGATTTGTGGGAGTTTGGATTGGAAACTTATGATGCTTCCAGTAATCAGAGGTTTGACATGCATGTAGCATTGATGACTATTGTGAGTGAAATTCCCGCTTACGCAATGTTATCTGGGTGGAGCACAAAAGGATACTTAGCATGCCCTGAGTGTCATTATGAAACAGATTCTGATTAGTTGCCTTATAGTGGTAAGAATGTGTATAGGGAAAATCGTAAATTTTTGGATCCATTTCACCCTTGGCGTCGTGATAAGAGGAATTTTGATGGGAAACTTGAGGAAAGACAGCAACCTACTCCATTGACTGGAATTGATATTGAGAATATGTTGCGGGATTTTCCAAATGAATTTGGAAAGAAGCAAAAGAAACCAAGGCGTGCTGAGGATGATCCGAATCCATGGAGAAAGATACCCATTTTTTTTTAGTTACCATATTGGAAGCATTGTCTTAATCGTCATAATCTTGATGTAATGGATATTGAGAAAAATGTGTTTGATAGTGTCATTGGGACATTGTTAGACATTTCTCAAAAGACCAAGGATCATGTGAGTGCTCGTCGAGATTTGGTAGAGTTTAATCTGATGCCAGAAATTCAACCAATAGAATTGGAAGATGGTGCGGAGGAATTTCCAAGATCTCGCTTTTGGATGTCATTGGAGCAAAAAACGCAAATTCTTTTTATTATTCCATATACTTTTGCGTTTTTGCGTTTTTGATTCGTATTTGATATTTGAGTATATGGAGTAAAACTGTTAATCCTCAACATCTTGGAAAAATGCAATCTGAGATAGTTGAAACTTTATGCTTACTTGAGAGGATTTTTTCACCTGCATTTTTTGATATAATGGTACATTTACCTATACACTTGGTGGGCTAAATTAAGTTGGGTGGGCCTGTAAGTTCAAGGTGTATGTATGGAATTGAGAAGTATCTTCATGGACTGAAGCAAGATGTTTGAGATAAAGCTCGTCCAGAAGGCTCAATGGCAGAAGGATATCAAGCCAAATAATGTATTGCCTTTGTAGCTAGATTTTTGAAACGATCAAGCACGGCCATACCTAAGGTTAATGGTTGTAGTACATCGCAATCATTTTTTCCTAAGGTAGGACGTCCAATAAAAGGGAAAGGAAGGACCTCAAAAGAAAAAAAAACGTGAACACATAATTGATCGCATTACATGGGCACAAGCACATCGTTATGTCTTGTTCAATTGTGATTGTGAGGAAGTTTAGAAATATATCATGTTAGGTTACCAACCAAAATGTAGTTTTTTTCTTTCTTTTTCTCTTGGTTATTAATGTGTTTTATGATAATAATATATAATCTTTTTATATTTCATAGTGAGCACAAGATATGTGTAAGCGCTAGAAGAAAAAGGAAATGGAATAGTGCTCAAGATCACAGCAAGGATTTTGTGGATTGGTTTAGGGATAAAGTTGATTTGATTCTTAAAGAGGGTCAAGACTTCATCCCTAACCATATCTTATGGTTATCAAAAGGGCCTTTTCACATTGCTAAAAAGTTCACAGGGTACTCAGTCAATGGTTATAGGTTCCATACCATGAAGCGCGATGCAAACTGTGTCACTCAGAATAGTGGAGTCACTCTAACAGCCATGACACATAGCTTTACGAGTTCCAAAGATCAGAATACTATTGAGGGAAATGTTAATTATTATGGTTCAATAATAGAAATCATTGAAATATCTTACCATGGCTACTTTTATGTTGTCTTATTTAAGTGTGTTTGGTTTCACTCGGAAATGGATGATGATGAGCTTGTTATGATTAATATGTGTAAGACCATTTCCAAAGAAGAACCATTTATATTGGCATCTCAAGCACATCAAGTGTTTTATGTTGAAAATCTTAATAGTGATGGTTGGCATTATGCTATTCAAATCCCTCCTAGAGAGCTTTCGGATGGTATTGACATACTATTTTAAATAATTCACTACATTCTCAAGATAGCTTATTTTATATTGCAATACTTTTCATATTTTATTATCTTTTTTGGAAAATAAACGTGTTCTCATTTATTGTTTTTGTAGATGAAGGGGAATAAAACAAAAGTTTCTGCTTCCCAAAGTCAGGTCACAGATTATGAGTTACAAAGGCTTCAAAGATTAAAGTTCAATGCAGAAAGAATGTAAGCCCAAGGATCGGGATCCTTAGCGAACAAGATACTTCAACAAAAAACAAAAGACCTACTTTCTCCAAGTGCAAGGCAGACAGAAAATGACTCCACGTCAGAGTACGATGGTGAAGAGGAGGGCAAAACTATGGAAGATGACAGTCTTGTGTCTGGAAAAAGAAAGGTAAGCAACTACATACTATCATAATATAGTCATAAATGTAAACAACAAAAAGTTCTATATGGATGCATAAAAGGCATTGTGGTAACAAAGTCTGTGACATTAACAAAAGCATATATTTGGTAATCTTGCTTTAATTTATAGCACTTATGCTTTCATGTGACAGCATAGTACTACAATTTGCAGGTAAATGTAACAAATAAAATTGTGTTACACTAGTTTATATAAGATAAAAATTAAATAAGATTAGTTTTCACCTCAAGAATCCTGCTATACTCTTGTATGAGATAATCAACATGAGCAGGGAGTGTGAACTGGGTAGATCTGACTGTGAAAGGCACCAAGTAGTAGTTGTTAACGAAATCATTGCCACCAAGGGTGATCAGCACCAGAGCTCGGTTTACTAGTTGTTGAGCTCCGGCTTCTCCGATTAAGGCACTCACTCTTTGTTGGTACTGACGGAAATAATCTAGCTGCCTGTAGATTCTGATTATGTTCAGCTGAAAAAATGTAGTATCAGTTATTTTTTTGGAGTACTTCAGTAATTGTCTAACAAGAAAATCTATGAGACCTTTTCGTTACATATCACAGCAAGTATTTTTTTTAACTAGTAAACATGCTACATTATGATCCAGTTTTAATTCAGGATTACTATCATTATTGAAGTATGCTATGTAATTACTTTTTGGCTTATGTTTTTTAGGTCTCAAAGAAACTACATTTAATTCGCACACGTAAAACGGCTATAGTGGAGATGAATAGCCAAAAAAGGCAGCATGTTGATGACTTTTGCGACAATAACTCTGTTGATTTGGCCAAGCAAGTTCAGGATCATGGCATCCAAAGGAAGCAGCAACAGCAGCAAGTTGGGTCAAAAAATAAAGGCAAAAAAAGAGCATTCTGTTCTCCTGGTTCAATGTCAGCATACCTTGAGTTTCGAAAACGGCAAAAAGAACACAATGAAGTGCTTGATGAAAGTAATCGTTCTTTGCATAATTCCATGACAGCGCAATGAAAATGATGCATTGAATGCGAATAACGATAATGATGCCATATATGAGATCGATGATGATGATGGGCTGAATGAGAATGATGATGGGCTGAATGAGCATGCTGATGTTATTGATATTGATCATGAAGGCGATCAAGAATTTGACCAGCAAGATGTAGCACAGTACGGAATGGAAGGTATGGTTTTCAATATCTGTCATTTTTGCTGAAATTTATACAACACTTCAATACTCATACTGTATTCAATACAGTAGCCGTTTCAGAAAAAAATACTACGTAAAATAAAATTTTGGGTTTTGGCCTGGCTTGTTTTTTATAATTAATACGAATAAATTGGCTGTAAAGTTCTGATAAGTTAAAGTGGCTGTAAAGTTCGAATTTTATACTCCAAATGAGTTAATGGGGCTGAAAAGTAGCAGAAACAATCATAAAATCTTACAGTAGGATTGAATGGATAACAGTGCCAGTGACTTCTGATTTCATATTACTAATCTAGTTTTTCCTATATTATTGCAAACGGTTTTTCATGTATTATTGCATACAGAAACAGAAAATGAATCATCTTCTAAAAGGAAAAATCATCGAGGTCCAACAATGCTACGTAAGGTTCATGCGCGTACAACAGAAGAGCGTCAAGTGATTGTTTTGAACTCATTGGGTCAGCCAGTTGGACCTACAAAGGAGATTGTCCAGGAGTACAAGTTTTTTTTGGGAACCATGGCAAGGGATTCCGAACTGGCTCCGCTTAACTACTTTAACTTCCCAAGCCTACCCACACTTGACAAGATATGGAATTACGTCCAAGTATGTAGTGATATTATCTTTTTGCATTACTTTATTCTACTTTCCTCATACTTAGACCTCCACACGTTACTAATGTATTAACTTAAGAATTTGTGCAGGAAAAGTATATGGTTCCTGATGGTGGAATAAGTTGGGTGATGGATGCTGTGAACAACTGTTGGAGGTATCATAAATGCCAGATCAAGAAAAAACACTTCTATGCATATGATAATGACGCTTTAAGGTGGAAAAATAAGCCTGATACAATTTCAAATCTTCAGTTTAGAGATCTTTTGCTATATTGGAATACCGATGAGGCTAAGGTATTGTATAAATGGATTTTAATCTATTATATTTTAATCACATATATATATATATTTAATTGAATTATTGTTCGATTGTAATATTTTATAGAAAATCAGTCACAACAACAAAGACAATCGTCTAATGTTAGATGATATGCACACTTTGGGTCGTAAGTCATTTGCCTTTTTACGCCATGAATTGGTAAATATTTTTATCTAATTATAGACAATTACATGATCAATTTCATATTCATCACTTGTCCTATATATATGAGGCTTTACCCTTTTTATTTAACATTTATAGCGGCAACAAGATCCGGATAAGCAAAAGCCTTCCCAAGCAAAGGTTTATAAGGAATCGAGAAAAAGAAGTTCTGGAAGGACATACAAAACTAGTTGTGAAAAATCAAAGGAGAACATTGTGAGTTAGCATCTTAGATATAATTTGTATTTGTGTGTATTTTATTCGATAATTGCTAATAAATTATTGTATTTACCTAATAGGCCAAAATGGATGCTCTGGAGTCTTCCGAACATGAAGATGGTAATAACTACAACGACCCTTACTACGAAGTGATTCCTACTGCTAAACACAAAAGTCGTGTGCATCTGTATGGATCGGGTGTGAAAAAGACAGATTTGAAGAAGAAAGCGAATAAGCCCGATTTCATATTCCCATAGGAATTCGTATCAAGTGTTACCACTGCAGTTTTGGCTCAACTTCGCGAGGCTAACCCTGGGATTAATATTGTGATTCCTGATGTTCTGCTGCAATCGACTCCGAATGATGCATCCTGTGCACCAAATCGAACCGGTAACCATAGTGGCCAATCTTCCAAATCAGCTGCAGCATGTAATCAGGTAGAACTAATATTTTCTCCTGCTTTTGTGTGCTAATATCTGAGGGTAGACTGGGTTACTTTTAATTGGGATGATAAGCCAATCAAATAACTAGTATATTGTTGTTGCTCTAGGATCATTTAATCTGGTCATCTGATACTCCAAATATGAGTCAAAATGACATTAGTTGTTGAATTGTTCCAATATCATCTATTCATGTAGGAATTAATATAAATAGTTGTCAAGGAACCAACAAGCATAAACTAAACATTGTCAAGGATCCCAAGCCCTGGAAAATTCAAGACAAAAACACTTGTGGCAGAATTTAGTGTTACAATTCTTATTGGACCTCGTCACAGATACTAAGCAAACTAAGCAGACTATGCTATAATCTTGCTGGGTGATATTAACTTGTCTAAGTAGGACAACAGGTCAAAGTAGTCTTAATGAAAATTGAAAATAGCCTAAACAACAAATCAGTGAAGTGGAAGCACAGCAATAAAAAAAATAACAGATTAATCACACAATTAAGACTGTAAAAAAGTGTCTCTCATAGAGTCATTGGTAAAGAAATAACCTTTTTGCAACACTAACAAACTACAGCAGATGGTTGACAACGAATAGGCAAGAACCAAAATTAGTATAAACACCACATTATCCATGTAAATAAAATGGAGATGCATATTACAAACGCGTAAATGTTTAATGGAAAACTAAGGGTTCCACTAAGAAATAGTAAAGATGAAGTAAGAATTCATATGACAGAGGAGAAACACTAAGATATAGTCACACAAAAAAAAAAATAGGTAGAGAAGAATTTAGGAGTTATTTTTGTAAGATGGGTAAGTATAGATTCAGATTATCTGATATGATGCCGAATGCTTGGTTCTACAAGCTTAAGGACATGGGGAAGGGAAGATCAACAAAGTCAAATTCTCGAGCTTCGAAGAGTATCAAGAAATCCTCTGTTTCAGACACTCAAATTAGTGTAATCACAAAATTTGGGCACCCAAATAGCTCTTATGCATACTATCCTACCTCTGCAGGTACTGCAGAACCCCTGATCAGGTTTACTGATCCCATGTATAGTTCACCCATGAACTATAGTCGAGTCTCCGATGCTCGTTCTGCTACAAGTCCGTGCAGAAAGTTGTCTAATGCATTATTTTAAGTTGCTGGTTGCTACTGCCTTTATTTCCCCCTCCCCTGCCTGCTGCCATAATGTCTTTTCCCCCCTTGCTAGATGTTGCTGCCTTTCCCCCTTCACTACTTGCTACCCAACTGTCTTCCCCTTGCTTCTGCTTCTGCTGTTGTTGCCTACTTGTGCTGTTGCTGCTTGCTTGTGCTTCTATATCACACGATATTTTAATTTTACAATCATTAGTCCTAATAGAACTCAACATAGAGTGCCACCCAATATATATATTTCTTTTATTTTTACATGTAGGTGCATGACGAGCTAAATGGAGATGAATGAAGTACAATGATTATATATTATCATCCAACAAATGGAGCGTACACGTCAGTGACTAATTTTTATTTAGTTCGAGCTTGTGAATATTAGGATTTGTATTTTGGATGATTTTTAATTAGTAAACTTTTATTATTTATTATTAGTTAGTATCGGTAGTGTAACATATATATGGAAACAATATTTTGTAATGTAACGTACATATTATATATACTTCGTTTATTGTTACATATATATATTGATATATTTTATATTTATTGTTACCTTTTAAATTTAAACTAACTAACAAAATATATATGTATTCCCTCAAAAAAATATAATACGTAGTATATTTCATGTACAACCGTTGCATTAGGTGAAAATATACCGTTGTATTATGTGACATATACCGTTGTATTAGTGACATATACCGTTGTATTAGGTGACAAATACTATTGTAGTAGGTGGAAAATACCGTTGCATTAGCCTTGCCGTTGGATTAGGTCTATAAATCATGATTTTGTTGCATATTCATCTAATACAATGGCAGCCAAAATGCCGTTGGATTAGGTATCAAGCTAATACAACGGCATGTACCTAATCCAACGGCATATTGGCAATCGTTGTATTAGATGCAATAAGGTGTTGTATTAGGCCTAATACAACGCCAGCTGATGTAACGGTATACAGGCGTTGAATTAGGTATAATACAACGGTTTTTAACACCTAATACAACGAAATTTGCCGTTGGATTAGATAAAAAATGTAGTAGTGATATAGGCTTGATTGTGAATAGGGAAGCCATTGATAACTTGAGAGAGACCTTTGGTATTATCTAAGGATTACTTTCCTTGTGAACATATAATTGATTGATTGGGGTAAGAATTTGTCTTGTATTGATTATACTAGTGGTGATACATAATTCTAGATCTTTTTATTATTATTTGATTCGTATTTGATATTTGAGTAGTCGTAGCTATTTAATCCATCATTTTATCTCTTATTTAGCTTTGTCATTGGTAAAAGTTGATTGTTAAATAACCTTCTCTGTGTGGGATCGACCCTGACTTACCCTACTACATAATTAGGAGGTCTAGTTAGGTATTATTTTTGTTAGGTGCGCGACACGCCTATCATGTTGGTTACATGGCGGTGAAGATAGACTTCGAAAAGGCGTATGATAGACTCCAATGGAGCTTTATCAAGGAGTCGCTAATGGAGTTGGGTATTCCTCAATTGATGATTGAGATTGTTATGACATGCATCACCTCGGCCAGACTCAGTATCGTATGGAATGGTGAACCTATGGAAAGTTTCTCTCTTTCCCGTGGAATTCGACAAGGAGATCCTTTATCTCCGTATGTCTATGTTATTTGCATGGAAAGACTAGCACACCTCATTGATCTAGAGCACAGGTTGGGAGATTAGAGGCCAGTGAGAGCTAGTAGAGGAGGTCCCCCTATTACTAACCTAGCTTTTGCGGACGATCTTATTCTTTTTTGTGAAGCTAGTGTTGATCAAGCAAGGATCATGAATGGGTGTTTGAATATATTTTCTGCGGCATCAGGAAGTAAGGTCAATGTGGACAACGAGAATTTATTTTTCTCCGAATACAAATCTGGATGTGCGTGATCAAATCTGTGCTGAACTTGGTATGGAGAGTACATCGGATTTTGGTCATTATCTTGGAGTCCCGACGATCAATGGAAGGGTTACAAAAGCTAATTTTCAATTTCTAGTTGATCGTTTGAATGATAAATTGAATGCTGGCTGGCGCTGGAAGACCTGTCCATGGCCGGCCATACAGTTCTAGCATAGGCTTGCTTATCTTCTATACCTACTTATGCTATGCAGACAACCAGGATCCCAAGAGGGATTTGTGATGACATCGATAGAAAAACAAGGGGCTTTATTTGGGGGAGAGAAAACGCAAGGTTCACTTGGTAGCATGGGAAACCGTTTCCAAGCCTAAATTGGAAGGGGGACTTGGTATTCGATCGATGAGACAAACTAATGTCGCTTTCCTCTCGAAGCTTGGCTAGAGATTTTGGCGGAACCCAATGCACTTTGGGCTCGAGTCTTGAGAGATAAGTATTGTGAGGGCCGTTGTGACATAGATTTGTTCAAGCACTTTGGGCTCGAGTCTTGAGACATAAGTATTGGACATTCGGAAGGCGTATGACACCAATAAATGGCACTTCTTATCATACGTTCTTGCTCACTTTTTTGAGCAAAAAGGGAATGCGTGGAAAGGTATAGTTGAGAATATTGATGCGCTTCGAAAAGGGATCAACATGGCCGTAGGCAATGGAGAATTAACCTCTTTTTGGCACCACAATTGGATTACCACAAAGCCGCTTGTCGAGTTGGCGATTATTACTCCACCTGCACACATTCAAGAGTAAAAGGTTTAGGATTTATGGGATATGAACAGAGGCTGGAAATGGGAGATTTTTTCTGACTATCTTCCGGGACATATTCTAAAGGAAATGCAAGCCATTGAGTTGGTTGAAGAGGAAGATGCTATTGACTCGGTTTATTGGAATGGTTCCCCGTCAGGAAAAGAAAGTTCACCATCAAATCTGCAATGAGAATTGTGCGATATGCGGCTGTGGAGATTGATTCGAACAACTCTCCCTGAAAAGATAATTGGAGTCTGTAGGTACCACAACGAATGAAATTTTTCTTGTGGCTGGGGTATAGAGAAAGGGTGATGACAAACTCAGTCCGATTCTTGAGACACTCGACTCATGATCCAAGATGCTTAGTATGCGGGTATGTTGAAGAAAATTTGGATCACATTCTGAGGTTTTGCCTAGCTGCAAGGATTGTTTGGAATAAGCTTGGGATCGATGTTGATGCTCATGATTTTCAAGGCCCTTTTCGAGGGTGGTTAATGGGGAATTTAGCGCACAGGAGGATGACAGATAGAGATGAGTGGCCTATATTCTTCACAGTTTGCTGGTGGCTTTGGAAGTGGAGGAATGCCCGAAACTTTGATCGTGAAGTGACATTCCTTTTGAACAAGCAAATTTCATAGTAGCGAGGATTGGAGATATCAAGCGAGCTTGGGAAAAATCTGCAAATTCGGTGTCAAACAAGAGAAAAAGAGAAACTATGCACGTCAAGTGGGAACTACCCCCTATTGGTTGGGTGAGCTTAAATACTGATGAAGCCTCTAAGGGCAATCCAGGTCCTACGGGTGCTGGGGGAGTAATACGTGGTGAAAATGGTGAAGTATATGAAGTATTTTCTTTAAATTGTAGCTCGTGTACCTGCACCAGAGCTGAGCTACTTCTTGTGCATTTCATATTTTATTGTTTATAACTTTGGGTTTCTCTTTGGATATTTTCGTCATCTTAAGCGGCTTCATTGCGCCTCTTCTTATTATCAGTCACAATTTTTCCCAGAAAATCAAGCAATAGTATACCAGGAATCAGGTAACTTTATAGCCTTGGTTACCTGTCTCTTTGAGTCTGTTTCTTTTGCTCTGGCTTTGGTGTATATGTTGAACCAAATACAGGAATTTGACAAAGCAATTACATAATATTGCATCTGATGGCTTCTTTTCTGAAGCCTTTATACTTTGTTACAAAGTAGCATAAAAGCATAATCACTCTAATGACCTACCTTTAGCATATATAAGTGATCATGTTCAATTCCAGTACATTTTTGAGTAGATTAAATCTTTGGCTTTGGATATGATATTAGATAACCTAAACTGTAATAAAACTGTACTTAGCTAGCCTATTGATCTAGCTTGTTAACTGTGAATTGAGCTAATCGACGAATTTTAAAGATTAAACAAAAGTACTGCGTAGCTTGGTGGTTTAAGATTCTGTACAGCAACCTTCCTTTGTTGCAACATAATTAGTCTCTTTTGGTGTTGTCGTTGAGAAGTTTCTAGCTTTCTTGAACCAATTGCAGTAAATTCTGAAATATCTTAAAGACGATCCCCTATAAAGTTTTTATTTATTACCATCTCTTCTTAAATCATGTTTCTTCTAGTCTTCTACTAGTAATTGCTTACACTATTCACCTTTAATCAACCAAGCCTCTGATTTATTCTTTTTTTTAATTTGTCCATTCTTTTCTAAAACAAGTTTGGGCAATTGGGAGTGGGCAGGGAATTTTGTAATTACAAGAGTTTTTCTGTAGTATATTCTAATATGATGTATCATGTCAGGGAACATGGCTATCATAAGCAGCTTGATAACTAAGAATTTCAGCCTCAAAGACAAGATGCAGGTACTTGAAAATAAATTTGATACTCTGACTGCTCGAGCATCTGATATCAGGTCTGAGTTAGAAATTGTGGAGTTACATCCAGGAAAGAAGCAAAGAAGAGAAGTTGAGCACTGGTTGAAAAGTGTTAGAACGAAAAAGAGTGAGATTGAGAGCTTGAGTGAAGAACTCAAATGAACGAAACTTTTCTTACCAAATATGCAACTCAAGAATCAAATGGGAAGAATATCTGGAGAAATCGAAGAGCTAATGCAACAGGGTAAATTTCCTAATGGGCTTGTGTTGAGTGATGTTAGAAATGCAAGGCTGCCACTGTTGACGCCAAAGTTGATAAAACAAATGTTTGAACAACACATTAAAACAATATGGGAATGGCTTTTGGATGACAAGGTGTGCAGGATTGGAGTTTATGGGATGGGAGGTGTTGGTAAAACGACCATAATGATGCAGGTTCATAATATGCTCTTAGAAGGCCAAATAATGTTCCGTGATGTGTACTGGGTTACTATCACTCATAGTAGTACTAATGAGTTGCAAAACAAGATTGCAAAAGCAGTGGGTCTGGATCTTCGGAATGAAGAAGACTGCAGGAGGCGGGCAGCCACCCTGTCCAACATGCTGTCAAAAATTGGAAAAAAGCTACTCATCCTAGATGACATGTGGCAACATTTTCCATTAGATGAAGTTGGGATTCCTCTTGCCGGGAATAGTTGCAAAATTATCATTACTACTCGCTCTTTGGATGTATGTCGAAGAATGTCGTGCCAACAGATTCTCAAGGTAGAACCACTTCCTGAGAGAGAAGCTTGGACTTTGTTTTTGGAAAATCTTGGAAACTATGAAGGTCTCCCTATGGAATCAATGAAAATTGCATAGTTAGTTGCCAAAGAATGCGGAGGTTTACCACTTGGGATTAGGACCATGGCTCGAAGCATGAATGGGGTGCTTGATGTATATGAATGGAACAATGCACTGCATGAACTCAGAAAGCTGATGAGGGGACAAGATGATATGGAAAATGAAGTGTTTCCAGTACTTGAGTTTAGTTACTTCCACTTGAATGATGTCAGATTGCAAAAGTGTTTCCTGAGTTGTGTTTTGTATCCGGAGGATTATAGAATACTCAAAGATGAATTGATTAATCTGTGGATTGCAGAGGGATTATTAGATGAGATTGACAGCAAACAGGAGCAGTTTTGCAAAGGGCACACTATCCTCTCAACAGACTTGAAAATTCATGCTTACTAGAAGCAAAGAGTTATAATGGAGAAAGATGTGTGAAGATGCATGATCTGATAAGGGATATGGCAATAAATATAACAAAGATTTCTTCTAGCTTTTTGGTAAACCCGGGAGTAGAACTCACTGAATTACCTCATGAGCACAAGTGGGTGGAGAATCTTGAAAAGGTTTCATTCTTTCACAATTGCATTTCAGAGATTCCACTAGGAATGTCACCTAAATGCCCTAATCTGTCATCGTTGTTTCTTCAATACAACCCCCTGGGGAGAGAATCCCGAACTCTTCCTTTACACAAATGAATGGCCTCAAGGTTCTGAACTTATCTCATACAAACATCAAGAAGCTACCAGATAGCGTATCTGACTTGGAGAATCTTTCTGCTCTTCTAGTCCATGGTTGCTGGAATTTGAGCTCTGTTCCCTCTCTGATCCGACTTAAGAAATTGAGAGAATTAGATATGCATCACTCTAGAATCAAGGAAGTGCCTGAAGGATTTGATGGACTATCGAACCTCCAATGCCTTGACTTGTCTCAAATCAAAGATCTTTGTATCCCAATAGGTGGGGTAATTTCAAGAATTCCCTACCTTCAGATACTCAAAGTCAGCCAAGCTATAAAGGGCAAGGACCTGACGGGTTTAAGGCATCTAGAGATATTACAGTGTTGGTTGATATTTGATATGAATGACTGGAAAATGTTCAATGAATCTCGACATCAGTGGAAGCTGAAGTGCTATAAATTTTTGCTCAGGGAAACCAAATGGAGACTTGGCAACAAACACGTAGAAACTTTGCACCACAACATATCAAGTAGCTTTGATAGAATCATGTTGCTGTCTACTTGTAGCTTCGACAGGGGAAAAGAGGCTATGATTCCAGCAAACATCCAATTCCTGGGAATCAATGGATGTAATTTCAAAGTAAGAGGCTTACTTGATGCTTTGTCCTCCTTCCACGATGCAACAGAATTGAAAGTATGTGAGATCAAGAACTGTGAAGGAATAGAGTATATCTGATCACCAACACCTTCCTCTCCAGTTACTACACCTTGCACCTTTTCTAACTTGAGAAAGCTGCACATTCGTGGTTGCTTCAATATCAAGAAACTATTTCCACTTGTATTGATACAGCAGCAACTATTCCCAAACCTGCAAGAGATTGAGCTTGTGAACTGTCCTAACATGACAGAAATAATAGCAGACAATGAAGACGAAGGAGCTACAAGGGGTAATAAGGATAGCCTCCTTTCACTCCCAAACTTGAAAATTATATCACTATGTAACATGCCGAATTTGGAGAGTATCTGTAGAGGACTACTGCTGTGTGATTCTCTTATCAAGTTGAACAAGGAGGGCTGCCCTATGTTGAAAATGATCCCGCTCTCCCTGCCCTTGCTTTGTGATTCTTCTGAATGCACACTTCGCATCTCCCTATCATAATATCGAATGGTGGGCATCTTTGGATAAAAACTATCCCAAAGATGTTAAAGTCCTGAGACATCTTCTTATTAAAAGATCTATTCTGAAATTTAAAGCTAGTTAGTCATGGCTTGTAATATCACTTGAAAATGTATATACATTATTTTTTTCTAATATAAATCCATTATTTATTAAGAACTTATCAGCTGATTTGTATTGCTAATCAAGATTTTGGCCTTCTGGTTTCGTCTTGGATTTGTAGCATTCTAAATGATTGTTTGAGATTCCCTTGTTTTCTTAACATATCAGAAAAACAATTGATAAGTAAAGCTAATTTGATGCTTACTCTTTATTGCTACTTTGCTAGCACAAGGCAATAATTTTAAGAAAAAACACTTACTATTCTATTCTATACAGTTATAAATTACAGTAGTATATAGTTTAATATCTCCTGTGTACCCATTGTATGAAGTTCAAAAGTTAGTGTTTTAATGCAATGATTTATCGAAGGCTGTATTTGGATAATTGCCTATGTATTTCAAGATTTATAGCTTTTCTTAGTAATTGGTTAAGTACCCTATACTTTTTGTTACAGCAACCTCTTTTGAGAGCATCATGATTCATAATGGCTATATTCAGTTAACGATATGGAGTAATTTTCAAGAAATTTGATTATTTTGAATACTTGGTCATATTTAAGTAATATTCACAATCAATTACTACTTGGTCAAGTGGAATGGGTTATGCTTATCAAGCCCTATTACTCTTTAATACGAAGTATTTATTAACTTACACATGTATAAACCGTAGGGCTTCAAACAGCAAATATATTGTTTGTTAGGACATTGAAATCATTGACATAGTCTGGTTAGCATGGCCTTATGATATCGAAAAGTCGTGAGAGATTATCCTGCATAGTATCTGGTTTTGATTTCGCCAACATTCTATTGGTGCAACGTATAGGAAGTTGTGAAGCCAACACATTTGACTAGTAATTGCACCCAATACAGTAACATTTTAGAACAAGGAACAATGATCAAGTCAGCTCTCTTATCTTGAAGGTTGAATTCTTCTCTAATTTATTACCACATTCTAAAGACTATAAGTATGACATTTGACTAGTAATAAATTTACTAAGTACATTCTCTCTATTAACTTCGTAAATTATAGGTTTTGTTGTGCCTGTCATAAGAGTTGGGACAAGGATGGGAGTGATGGACCTTGCTGGGCATCCACCGAATCCGCCCACATTCCAGATTCCATATGGTAATGAAAGAGGAATAGATGGACTTAATTTTTCATTATCTTGGGAATAGCTACATAATACCAAAATACTTTACCAAATCATTACCATTCCCTCAATATTTTCCATTATAACGAATAAGCCAGTCAGGTCCAATATCAGGGACATTGATCCTCATGACAGTCAGTTTCACATTACTGTTTTAAATTTCTATTAAAACTCAACAAAGCTTTACTGGCTCAGAGGATACCTCAGCCAAAAGAGGCTGTCACTCTTTTGAAACTGTTAAGTTATATGACCTATCAAAACCAAGAAAAAGTAATTGCTGTGATGTACTCCTTCCATATTGAGTTCTGAAGCCACAAACCAAGTATATACTAAGCCCAAAAAACAGAGGAAAAACGAAGAAGACGGCACATGAAATTAGCATGAGTAACCCAAGTGGCCAAGTCCAACAAATGAAGTGGTCAATGACAGTTAACTTGGTTCCAAAAATCAAAATCAATGAACAGGTCCTTGCAGATCTTTCCACAACACAATCAGCAGATTACAGCTAATGAGGATCTTAAGAGATGTCCCTAGACTAAGCCTTCCAAATCGCACCTAACACCTTCAGAGCAACTACTGAAATAATCGTCCTTTCTTGACAGGACGAAAGACAAAAGGGAAATGGCCACCTTAAAGCACTTCACACATCGATGCCATCCACTGAAGGAATTTTCAGAGGATAATGAGTTCAAATGTGATGGCTGTGAAATGTTAGGCATCGGACAGAGATACCAATGTAGGGAATGCAGTTTCAATCTGCATATGCATTGTGGCCATTGTCCTGCAGATCTTTGCTCATTTATGCACCCAAAACACCGACTTCACTTGACCTTAGTGCAAAGGTCAAGAGCCTCATTTTCCATCAAACATGCCTGTGAAGTATGTGGTAAGGGTGTAAGGGGGCTATTCTATCACTGTAAGCGGTGTGAAATTTATGTTCACCCACTTTGTAGCCAATTGCCTCAATATGTACACTACATAACAGATGTAGAGCACAGCTTAGAGCTACAGCATCGAGAACAATCTAATTCTTGCACTGTTTGTGGGGGATACTGCAGTCACTGGTATTACAAATGTGGCAAGTGCCCAATAATCCTTCATATTGACTGTCTACTATCAAAACTTCTGCTTTCCAAACCACTACCTCTGCAAAAGAAAAAGTCAACTTTCTTTTCTTGGTCATCACAGAAAAAAAGGTCAACCGTGGCATGGTGGTGGTTCTGTGTAGCTTTTGTTATGGCTTTACACTTACTTCACCTGGTAAGGGAACCCCAATCTCCTGCAGATCACAGATAAATGTGTTACATAGAAGAGGCAACTCAGGTGAGTTTGCAGTTGCGCTTCATGAATTATTTCTTTTTTCAAATCATCCAAATACTTGTAATTACATGTGCTAATATATGTTGGTCTTTTGTTATGTAACACCAATGGAGATATTTCCAGACACTTAATTTTATAATAAATACACACACCAAAATAAGAACTATTAGACATAATTCTAGGATAATCAGCAAAAAACAGGTCAGAGTGATTGCAATACAAGCATATACTCCGTAATACAGCTATCTAAGGTCATTCATATTGCAAAAGGTACCTCTACTGTATTTCAAACAGGATGAGGAACAATGAGAACGTAATAGTGTGAGCTTTATATACAGCCTTCATCACTTGTCAGTCTTCATCATCAAGTGCAGTGAAGTCTTCTATACCTTCAGGCTCAACAGTATTTTTATTTGATGAACGCAGTTCCTCGATTTCCACATGTAATAGAGTGTCACACACCACTCTATTAGCCTGCAATGGTTTGGGACAACCTGAAAGCAAGAGAAATTAGGTATAAATGTTACAGCTCAAAAAGGTTAGATGAGCTAAACCATAGAACTGATGATTAATACAACCTGCTACAGGGCATTTTTTCGTTGGATTTTTCTTCATGAAGTGCAGAATTGCACTCTTGTCATAGACGTGCTTGCAGTCCATGCTGCCAAAGGAAAAATCAGTCAAGAGTTTCAACGGCAGATAGTTACAGGAAACAAAATGCCTTGAAAAAAGTTCGACTGCTTAATTCTCTTTCTTTAAGCAACAAGTCAACTTAGGAAGTTACACAAAGTCTCAAACCAAAAGACAAAATTACACATCTAACAGTAAGTAGTACACATTGCACAACTCTACTATATAACCCCGTCAACAGCAACAACAACAACAACAAAGCCTTAGTCCCGAAATGATTAGGGGTCGGTTAACATAAACCGTCATAAGAAACCGTCCATAAAGACAATATAGCATAACAAGATAATCAATTGAAAGTGGGGAAAAAAAGTGTGTAAAGTGAGAACTGAAAAAGAGTAAACAAATAAAATTTAAGAGAATTTTAAAGGAGTTGTAAGGAGATAAAAAAAGAGAGGAAAAATGTGAGTAAAACACAAATCTATGAGAAAACCTTAGCTTGCAAAACATGAGTTAAGTAGATATTAGAAGTAAATATTAATATTAAATAAGCAAACAAGTATATATATTAAACAGTCCTCGACGTGAAATTTCTCCCTCCACTCCGCCCTATCCAACACCATATCTTCCTCAATCCCCATATACTCATAGTCAAATAACTTTCAATCAACATCTTCCAAGTTTTCTTAGGTCTTCCCCTACCCCTCACTTTGCCACTCTTCAAGCCTCCTTACATAGCCAAACCACCTTTGGCAATTTTCCCTCATCTTGTATTCAATGGCTGTAAACCCTACTTTCTTCCTAATTATTTCATTCCTCAATAGATTCTTTCTTATATGGCCACACATCCGTCGCAACATATGCATCTCATCAACAAAGAAATAAAATCACTGTAACATTTTATTGCCCTATATGATATTATTTCTCCTGAAAAGTCATATAATTAAGTATAAAACGTTCATATGTCCAAAATGATTAGAGAGCACAACCAAGTCAACCACAGCACATAGGGATGATAATGATCCCAGTAAGCTTGCAAGTGACTCAACTGCGGCATAAGATTTATTAAATTAAGCAGAGCTAAGCTTAACCCAAAGTGGGCAAGCTTGAACTTTAACCTATTGAGTATTTCCATACTACAAAGTGTACATTTTAGCTTGCAATCAATGATTTTTATTACAGCTCATGCCGCAACCTCAAGGCAAGTTTTAAGCTTAGCAAAACTTGAAATTTTAAAACTCAACAAAATCTGAGTCTCTATTTAAGCTAATTTGTGAGTGTTTCAAGTCAGAGCCAAACTACCCAATTTAGAGGACTTAGAGCTCAATCTTAGACTTGTAATCACCCCAATTTACACCATCCACACCAAGTAGTGGGTTCCACAATGAAGAATTCAGCTTGCAGTGTAATAGACAAGTGCCAAACTGTATCTTCACTAACAAAATATTAAATAATTAAAAATATAAACATATTAGTGACAATGCCTAATGGGGTCGCCAAACTACCATCTCAGATTAGAATTTCGCCAAAATCACCTCCCACACAAAATCTCTAGCCACAGTGGAAAATTAACCTTCCACACAAAGGTTGTGGGTTTGAATATCTTAGTAATGTTTAAAGAACAAACTACCTTTTATTTCAAAGAAACTTCATTCTAGAACCGCGCCTCGTAGTGAGATTGAAAATTTGAAATGAATTAAAAGAGTCACAACATTCTTGGTTGTATCATGTGTTTTTAAATTCTCAAGAAAAATCAAGGCATTAGGGGTCATAGAGCCTAGGCGCTAAGCACAGGAATAAGCCATGCAGAGCCACACACCTCAATGAATTGAGGAGCTACAAAAAAATGGTGAGAAGGTCATTGTGTGTCTTATTTGTGCCTTGGTGTGCTTTTTATTGCCTTGGGAGGGCTTCTTAGAAAATGCTTAGCCTTGACCACTTAAAACACTTAACCCCTATCTACTTGAACCCTTCAGCGCCCCTCAAGTGCGTTTTTATGAAGCATCAATTGTTTATACTAATAGAAGGATAATTCTAACAATATCTTGCTCTCAGCCACCTAACTTTCAAAAATACAAATTGGTCACTTCAGCAGGGTATCCACGACACACACCACAAGAGGTAGCTATCCAAACTGTTAGTGATCAATGTGCCAAACCAACTGAGAGATGATTTATGAACACTCAAGTGACTCAGCATTTTAATGATCAACAAAAATCTGAAATAATTCTTGAATGAGAAGTTCCAACAAAAAAATGGAATTTCTCCAAGCATGAAAGTAGGTATGGTACACTATGGAGAAGCTATAAAAGCATGAACAATGAATTGATACGACTGTTCCATGCCTGAGGTTTCACACAGTAAGCAATAAGACCACCATTATCAACACTATATCCTACATTCTTACCAAGACGAAAAGTAAAAAACCTGAAAAACAAATTTTGAAGCCTAGTGGTGAACTATACATGCAATTCATCCATTTGGAGACTATATATCCTATCAGTCGATTTAATCCTAGTGTCATAGGAAATCAGGTTCCGACGGAAACCATCAAAAGCCCACAATAATTTACTTACCAAGGAGATGAACTTGAATATAAAATCACCAGAACCTACAGCAGTACAGCTCCTAACTTGATGTTACAATCTTAATGGTAACTCAATTTGTGGTGAAACTGGTGACCTCTACTCTTTGTTTTTCCCAACTTCAGACCAAAAGCAACCCCTCATCACTCTCTCACACCTACCAACCATGCCCATAGGAAGTTTAATCAAGGATAAGGGATACAGAGATATTTTAGATTGAAAAATAGAGTATTATGTCAGATTATGTCCAACTATCTAACCTTTAGGCGACACTCTAGACTATAAGATCCCATAAAGGTTCCCTTATAATGAACCCCCTAAAGTAGTCTGTGATAAGTCAAAGAAACTCCAGATAACTTAATTGGACAGACATGAAAAACTAGCAAGAATACCATAATCCATATTAAAACCAGAGATGCTGGACTTTGGGTCTTGGAAAAATTGACCTTAAGCCCCAAAACCAACTTAAAAATACAATGAAGAGTAAACAATATTCTTTATTTCTCCAATTTGAGATAGAAAGAATTGCATCATCCACAAGCTGCAAGTGAGACAACACAAGCCCTACCAAAAACCGCAAGTACAACCAAGCAGTTTCACTTCTGAAATCAGCCAACAGCAACTAAAGTAAACAAAGAAAGAGGAAAAGGGGTACAGCCCTCCAAGACTATAATCAACTAAACTATTGACATCCACACTCATGTTGCTTTTCTAACAGCTTGTTGAACTGATACAAATTATAAAATTACATCTGTCCCGCATACAAAACAGATATAAATCATATAACACATGAAGAATAGATGAAATATTACCTGCGAACTGGCTCTGCCAGGTCAGTAATTGACTTTCCAGATATTGGGCAAACTGTATTTGAAATGCCAATTTGCGTACTGGTCATCACAATGTCTTCTTGCTCTTCACCAGGCATTGGCTGACCTGAATGATGGACATTCTGCCAAAAAAAAAGAAAAAAAAAAAACATAAGAAAGAAATCAAGATATAATGTAAATAACCCAGGCATAAATAGTGAAAAGTTTCCATCTGTAATTAAGTTCTAGCAAATAGTACGTTAATCAGATATATTCTCAGTCGCTTGCACGGTGAAATTCAGTTTCTGAATTCTTATAATTATATATTATGACTGACAGCACAAATAATAAGAAAGAGCATATATTTATAATTTGAAGTTAGAGATAATAATTTCTAATATCCCTTTTTTGAATTTCTACATAACCAACATCCAATAATATACAAGAGATACCAAGAAGATGGATCAAAGAATACCCAAACAGCTTCTTTGAACTGTCGTAACATGGCAGCAGTCTGACGATTTGAAGAGGCATTACACTTGAGCCTAGAAACTTCATTCTTAAACAACTTATTAAAATCGGTTAACTGCAAGAGGGGGGGGGGGGAAACAAAACAAAACAAAGGACATTAGCTTTTAAAAAAGAAGCAGAGAATAATCACATGAGAAAAAGAAGAGTTAGTTCAGAGAACCTCCAGGCCCGGTTGGTAATTGTTCCCAACTGATTCCATCACATTGGAAAAATTCATGCATTCTTCATAAGTGCCCAATAACTCTACAAAAGCGTCTTCAAGCTCTCTTACCTGCAACATGTTACTGTCAGTTCATGGACAGGAGCTTGTGGTGGATGGCATCATTGCATCAGAAAAAACTAAACAACAACAACAACAACAACAACAACAACAACAACAACAACAACAAAGCATAAGCATAAGCATTGAACAATCAACAACAAACACATATAAGTATCACCAAGTTCCCTCTCAGTCAACATCCTCCAAAGTCAATAAGGCCTATAAGGGCGATCACTCAAAACTTGTAAGCTTATCCTTCAGCCGATCATCCCCAAGATGATAATATATGTTGCAGAATAAGAATATATATCCCTTATTTCCTCCAAACAACTTCATAAAATAAAGCAAGCATCTTTATGAAGATTACACACATATTTTCTTCCGAAAGCGCGCCATTTAGTAGCAGTATCTTGTAAGTTTATTGGGTTTTTTAGCCAAAACAGCAACAAATAATTTGAATTGTTATACCCATGAAATAAAATTCATTTTCGCCCTAATTTTATCAACACGCACTATTAACATTCATTATATCATCTAACTAGCAAAATCACATCGTGTAATTTGTGAAAACTGCTGAGAAATTAGGGTTCATAATCTTCAAAAACAAAAAAAAAACTAACATTAAGCTCATGAGAAATCATATATAAAGGGAAATATAGTAAAAACTGATAAATTAGGGTTTAATTCAATTGCTATTTTGGAGAAATTACCTCTTCAGACCGATTGAATCTCTCCATTTCTACAGCAATTTCCCTCATCGTATTAAGGGCTTTTCGGATGTCCTGAAGAAGAGAAAATCCTCAGAAAAATCAAAAAGAAAATTTGAGTACAAAGTAGGAATTAAATGATGAAAAATTAAAGGAATTAAATGAAAATGAAAAAGGCAGTAAAAATTACAGCGATAAGTGGTCGATTATCGGAAACGAAGGCATCAGTAGCGTTTTTGAATCGCATGGAAGCTCCCCCGCCACGGCGAGCAGCAGAGGTAGACGCCATTTTTCTCTCTTCACTTTTCAGGGGTTGTGTTTTTGGAGGGAAACAATATTTAGAATTTGTTATATAGAATTTGTTATATACACACAGGTATATATACAGAATAGACTCTCAATAGAATTTTATTATATACACCGGGTATACAGAATAGACTCTCAACAATATGAGAGCAATTACTCAAAGGCTCAAAAGAATTTTATTTTATACTCCTAAACTTAATAATGCCTGAATCATGCTCGAATTTTAAAATTAATTAGGAATAATAATAGAAATATAGAAGTCTCTATATATAAATGTAAGTTATTAGTCCATCAATAAATAATGAAGTTTGTAGATTAATTAATGTGAAGTGTGTAGAAAATTGTGCATAACAATGTAATTAGATAGTAATGGTCCTACGAAAATTAATATTTATATAAAAATCCAAAAAAAAGAATAAAGCATAGTTTAGGGGGGAAATTCCCTCCAAAAAAATCCAAAAAATTAATATGTAGAGTAATAGATTATTTAAGAGTTGATATCAAGGCATTAATGCTAATGCTAACCCGTACCCGATTAACTCGTAAGTAATAGTTGTAACTTGTACTAAAAACTTGTAAGCAAGCAAGATGTATTTGGTACGCCGTAAAATATCAAATACTCTATACAATTTTTGGCAAGAAAGGGAGTAGTTTTTATGAGATAGTAAGGTATTATTAAGTAAATAAATAGTCATTAGATAGTGTAAAGTATTTTAATACGGAGTAACTTATTTGAATTTTTATTTTTTTTAACAACAACTGAATATATTTTATAAAATCAGAGTTTACTAAATATGAAACAAGAACTAAACTTATCAGTTATCACTATATATGTTGTTACAATATACCATTATTTACGTAAATTAATATTTAATTAGCATTGCTATTTGTTACAGTATAAAATTTAGCTACTGACGTGTTTTACATGGGAATTAATCTACCTTTTTTTTTTTTTTTAACCACAGCAACTAAAAACAACTAAATTGAAAAACTATGTAAATTAGCTCTACAAGAATTAGCAATAGTGTGAGCTCTTGTAACCTGGTCCCTTCCCACTTTTTAGATCATGCAATTTTTCAGCAGCTTCCCTTCCTTTATCAGATTGTGGAATTAAGCTACTTAAGAAACTAATTTTCACAAACCATATAGTGAGGTAAAATTTTTTGTTTTACTGACGTTAAACTGGGTAAAAGACTAAGGAAATGTTAACCGAAGCTAGAGGATAAAATGAAATATCAGAAAATACAAGTTTCTCTCAATAATAAACACTATCATTATTCATCACCTGACGTTTCGTATATAAATCAACAACTTTTTCATTAATATGGGCTTCATAGTGGATGGTAATTGGATAAGTTGTTAATTTATTTACGAAAATGGTTTTTTCACCATATACCCCTAAGTAATTCGTGTATTCACTATATACCCATAAACTTTCCAAATTCACCATATATCCTTAAGTTTAACAAAAATGTCATTAAATGCGCTTAATGACTAATGACGGTTAATTGTGCTACGTGACAACTTCTGATTGGTTTTCTTTTTAAATTATTTTAATTAATTATTTAAAACTTAAAGAACTAATTTTTTTTTTTTAAAAAAAAACCACCCACCCTCTACCCTCCCCAGTCCCTTCCTTTAGCTAGCGCCCATAGCTCTGCCCCCATTGTCGCCGTCGCTCAAACCCCTGCGCCGGCGTCTCCCTTCGCCTCTCTTTCCTTGTTGTTGACTTACCCCGGAACCTCCAGCCTCCACCTAAAACCTCCCTCATTTCCGTCCAAACCCTAGGCCTAGCCCCCTCCTTGCTCCAGTGTTGACATCGAACCCGGGCCCAGCCCTGCTACCTCCCCCACGACGAGCCCCATACGCTGTCGCCTCTCCACCTAAACCACGAGCCCCCACCTCGAAAACCACCTCCTCCCACGCGTACACGTAGGGGAAGGTTTCAATATTAGGGTTTTAGGGTGGTGGTTTAGGGGGGGCCAGTGGGGATGTAGGGGGAGGGGCAAATCGGCTTCGCCGGCGCGGGGGAGGGGGTTTTTGCACCGACAAGAGGGGAGGTCGGAGTTTTTGGAGCGAGGGAGGGTGTTTTAGGGTGGGGAAAGGTGGTACTGGGGAAGGGGAGAGGCGGCAACGGCAGGGAGATCCGGGTGGCGATGTCGTCACATTGGTTCAGGGGCGGAATACGTTAGCAAGGGTGACAGGTGATGGGAGGCAGGGTGGCGGAGGTGGGGTAGGAGGTGTCTGAGCTAGGGTATGGTGGTTGGAGTTTTTTTAATTTTTTTTTATTTTTGAATAATTAAGCAAATAATCTTTCTAAAAAAATTAATAATTTAAAAAGATAACCAATCAGAAGTTTACGTGGCATAATTAGCGTTAATGACTAACGGAATTAATCGCTGTAAGTCATTAAGACACATTTTTATTAAATTCAAGGATATATGGTGAATTTGAAAAGTTTCAATAAACGAATTATTCAAGGTACAATAAGTCTTGTATAAGGCGGGTGTACATTAATATTATTGTAAGACAGTCAGTTTGAGGGCAACTTTAACTATTTTTATGGTAACTTTAACCATTTTAATTTTTTTTTTGAACAAAGATTGATTTATAAATAAAAAGTCATACGACATTTACAAAGAGATTTATATCAAACAAATACATGACAATTAAATCAAATAAAAACATCCTTTCAGCAAAGCTATGATCGTTATTGCAAATTGTACATTCTTTATACCCTCTTTCACATTGCTGTGATTTAAAGCCTTATTCGACAAGAGGATCTATCGATCTATTGTAACCGTTAAGAAAATTTTCGCCTGATTCGTCTGGTTGTAATTGAAAGATTAACCTCTTTTTCGATCCCGCACAAATCTTTACCCATGAAACAACTCTACAACAATCCACCAAATAAAAAAGCAAATCCTCCCTCAAAAGAAAGAAGAAAAATCTTTTCTTTCGAAGGAGATAAATCCTCCTAAAGAAAAAAAAAACTTTTATGATAATTTTAACCTGTCTTACAATAAACTAACGTACATCCGTCTTTTTTTTTTTTTTTTGAGAATTTGTATTCAAGGTATATGATAAAAAAACCATTGCGAAAATGCCTTTTCATCACCGAATAATCCGTACTCCATAATACTCAAAAGATTATAGCTTTTCTTAAACAAGCGTGGGGCAATATGTTAAGCGGCAACCGAAAGCCGTGTACCGTGTACCGTGTACTAGTACTCTGTAGATTAGTATAACTACAACATGAATCCACCGACTGCAAAATTATGCAATATTATGCTTACATCTCTTCTCTATTAATCTCTCCGCTTGGTGAAATATTTGTAAGCCCTCTTCCTATGTTCTTTTCGATTTACATTTCTTTTAATTTTTAATTTTTTTAATTATTTTTTGGATAATTACTAGAACTTTGTTGTTTTGGAAGGTGCTATGGCTGGAGCAAAAGTTGGCAATGTTGAAGAAATCAAACTTCAAGTATTTTCATCGACTAATGAGGTACTGGTAGTTTTTTTTTCTTGTATTAGGGATGGATTCTTGGTATTCTTTCTCTGATATTATTATTGATAATTAATACTCCCTTTGTTTCTTTGACTTTTGCATTATTTACATACACCACTTTCACCATTGTTATATTTTTTACATAATAGTGTAAGAATTGTATCATTGTATCGTTTTTTATCATCAAATTTTTATAATTAAAGATATTATTGATCATTTTTCCTTGTTACATATGTGCCAATCAAATTGGGAACTTATTTTGAATTAACAAGGTACATCATACACATGGAATATTTCACTATGTGTCCTTACGTCACAAAACAAACCCATTTTTTTTTTCCGAACACAATTATTAAGTTATCCCATATGGTGTTGTTTGATTCATATTCGTATCCATGAGAATTGATATCTTAGAAGTTAGGAAGTAATAAGTCTAATAACTAAAGAGTTTGTTTGGTTGACAACTTGACTTGAGTGTAGGAAGTGAAAACACCCTAGAGAGTCTAATTTCCCACACAATGGGGCAAGTTGTTTACCTAGCCTCCCCTAGGTATGTAGAACATCTCATTGAGATTTTAATTTCCTACGCTTAACCAAACAATATTACTCAATTCAAAGGAAATGAAAATATATTTAAATGAACCAAAAACCCTATTTTTTTCCTTCAAAAACATTTTTCTTATTACTAGTAATTGTAATTTTGGAAGAGTATTTAAGGCAAAATTACCGTTTGAACCTCAAAACAAGGACTACCTCTTCCTTTACATACTTTGTGATTAGTTAAAAGTTAATGCTAATGCAACTTAAAGTTTGTATGGCACAGAGTAGCTGGTAATTTCATTTCACAATTGTTAAAACTTATTTTAAAACTTTTAAGGTGAACCGCTCTGTGTTAAATTAAAGCACTTCTCCGGGTGGAATAAGAACTTTACTTTAATCTAGCAGTTAAAGCAGCAATGTGAACGAGATATATATCATGCGTTAGGGAGGCAATATTCCCATCACTGTTCCAACAATCCAACCTATCATACTAAAAGTACTGAGTACAAGATAGAGTAACTGAAGCTTCATCTACATTTTTTTTTTTTTTTTTTTTTTAAGTACAACCATTAATTATATACCAGTTAGCCATCTTGTTCCTGATATAACTTGCCCCTTAATAATATGCTCAAGCTCATGGAAAAGCATTAATTAAGGGTTTAAAACATGTCTTAGATTGTCTACATCATTTTTCTTTATAAGGCTTAATTATATTTAAAATTTAAAAAAAATAAAATAAAATTGTAACCCTTATACGTCTACAACAAAAAATTGTTACAAACCATGTTTTAAACCCCCCCTCCCCCTTCTCATTTGAGCCGAGTCTATACCTTCATGTACTATTATGCACAAGAATTCTGAAATGATTACATCTATATGTTGCTTCCAATTTTGACAGATATTTGTCAGTCATACATATATAGTAGAAAGTACTTAAAATGAACATCGTCATAAGTTCATTATTGACAGGAAAACATTCCAATCTTATGTTTATTAATCAATAAATTGTAGTTTTCCTTACAGACCATAATAATGTAGTAATGGATCAAATCCCCTAATCGTTTTTGCTAAGAAGCAGTGAATCACTCCTAATGCAAACTTGAACAATAATGCTAAGTTAATGCAGTAGTACAACTGCTGAACAATACAAACCCCTAATATCCATCGTCGCTAATAGTCCCCTTAAAAACATAGAGATAATCTCCATTTTCAACACCGTGCCAACGAAGACTACAATTATCGCGCATAATCCTCTGTTTATGGATGAATATGTAATCATCCATAGGCAGAATCCTTCTACTTAACAGTAATTGCCTCACCTCAGTTATAGTGCTTGTCTCTTTCATCTCCAAGGGTATGCTTGCTGCATTTAGCAAACTTTTGAGGTTTGTACCACCACGCTTAGCTTCCTGCAGAGAGGTTCGGCCTTAATCCGGTTTATGCTCTTGAGAAAAACTGTGATTTCTGAATTTTCAGTAATTCCATACTCACTCAAATATCGAAATTCTTCTTCCATTTCTACCCCTGAAGTGTATAGTAACATCCTCTTTATAGGGGTACCATCAATAATGTGAATTTTCTCCTTCAGGCTTCTGACTGTTTCTGTTATGTTGTCTACCTCTATGCTTATTTGCCTTGAGGAAAATTTTATTGTGACTGGGATCTTGTTATGGCAGCTAGTGTGCTGACTGTGCTCCAAGTAATAGTCCATAGGAGGTAATTCGTCGTGAGTAGTGTTGACAATGAGATCAATTCTAGTGCCCTCATGAATGATGGGGTAGTCATCCATGTCAAGCCCATCTATTAGCTCAAAGCCTAACACAGAAAGTGTTTGTATGGATACAGGGATGCCTAGGATTTTCGATATTTTGTGTTTGATCTCAAGTACAGGCTCTTGGTGGCTTATTTCAATGGGAAAATTGTTGGAGCTGGTGACTATGGTAACCTGCATTGTATGGGTTGAGAGAATAAGAGAATTTGGAGTGATTATGCTTTAATGTTGGTAGCAGATTATATTTGAGATTCGGTATTAAAAGAAGGTTTTTGTCATGTTCTTATAATGAATATTACACTATGGTTTCTGTTCTTTCATTCTGATTTCATGTCTTCATGTTTTATAACATGTTCTATATCATGCAAATATGCTTCTTTTGAATGCAAATTGTTGGTCTATGTCAGTTAGCATGCATAAGTCATCTATTGAACAAGAGACTTCAAATTTCCTTTTTTTTTTTTTTTTTTTTTTTGGGGGGGTGGGGTTAGTTAATGATTTTAAGTGTAAATTGTAAAATCAGTTCAGTAAAATCTTGTTACTTAAGTTGCAAGTTGGAATCTTCTGTCCTAGTATAATTGAGACAATGACTGTTATAAGCTGCAATTTTTGGACCATTTTATTTCTGTTCTATTTGTTAGGTAATGCGGCACTTTCTATGTTATGCCTATTAACTATTAAGGTCCATGGATTTCCTTTTCTATGGTCTTTATATGTCAAACTGATGAAAGAATGTGAAATGATTAAAAACTTGATTCCTGGTAGCCGTCTTGCAGCTATTAAGAAGTATGAATTAGTAATAGAAATATGATCATGTGCAATTCCAAAAGCCACCTAAGTTTTCTTGAAGAAAGTTTTGGGGTGAGATTGTCTTTTAATAATTATATTCAAAATTAACCAAATCACCCGTCATATGAGACTTTCCCGTTTGAGCTTATATGTTTTCGTTTTAAAACTAATTATTGAATTTTTATTTTTTTGGCCTTTTCTCTTATTTTGAGTGACATGCTTCCGTTTCTTACTGCTTTCATTGTAATTAGTTAATAGAAATTCTGAACAAGAAGTGCAATAAAGCTACGGATCAACCCTATCCTGCAATGTATTCCAGCATCTTTGGTGGTATTGTTCTTGATCCTATAATGATGATGATACCTATAGATGATCATATGGTGCATCGAGGGCATGGTGTATTTGATACAGCCATTATTTTTGATGGGTAAGCCACTCAATTGCCCCTAGCTTCTTTCACTTCGCTCTTTCAACTAGAAGAGAAATTTGTTAGGTTGTACATCTTTGGAATGTTGAGCTGATGTCAGTTTATGATTTTTTTAGCAATTCTCAATTGTCTATGTCGAGTGTGTAATCGTAAGATAAAAGTATAATGATCCGATGTAATTCAAGTAATCCTACATTTTATCCTGTGACAAAATGACGGTATTGGAGTTCCTTCTTTACGTAGTTACTCTCCTAGCATATCATTTGTCATGGATTATATTTGGTGAGGTTCCTTTCACTTTACAGCTTCCTTTATGGCCTGGATGCACATCTTGACCGGTTTCTCAGGTCAGCTTCAGTAGCGAAAATATCTCCTCCTTTTCCTCTGTCAACTCTTCGTAGTATTCTCATCCAACTAACTGCAAAATCAAAGTGCAAGAACGGAACCCTTCGCTACTGGCTTAGTGCAGGTCCTGGGAATTTCTCACTTTCATCTTCAGGCTGCCCTACAACAGCTTTCTATGCCATAGTTATCAAACATGATTTCTCACTGTGGAAAGAAGGTGTTAAAGTCATAACATCCTCTATTCCCATGAAAACACCATTATTTGCCACAACGAAGAGTGTAAACTACCTTCCTAATGTCCTTGCTCAATTGGAAGCCGAAGAGAAGAAGGCATTCGCCTCCATTTGGGTTGATGATGAGGGTTATATTGCAGAAGGTCCAAATATGAATGTAGCTTTTGTGAACCATGAAAGAGAGTTGGTTATCCCAAAATTTGATAAGATCCTTGCTGGTTGTACTGAGAACAGGCTTGTAGAACTTGCACCCAAGTTGATAGACAAAGGGCATCTGAAGGCTGTCAGAACAGCTGACACTTCAATCGAGGAAGCAAAAGCAGCTGCTGAAATGATGTTTGTGGGAAGCTCCCTGCCAATTGCACCCATAATCATGTGGGATGGAAAGCCCATAGGAAATGGTACGTAGCTTTATCTGATCCCTCATCTTTATAGTAGTGTTAGTGGAAATAAGCTGCTTGTGACTTTGTGAGTGCTGGCTACTGCACAAATATTTAAAATTAGTTAAAGTGCTGGTAGATTAGCTTTATTTCACTGAAATAGAATGAAACGGCCTTAATGATGAGCTAAAATGATAAGCTTTGTGTCACGCGGTCCATGTCCATGAAGTAAAGTCATGGTATAAGTTTCGTATTTTGCATGAATACAATATAAATTAAGATGACTCCACACACATAAGATGAAAGTTTTGGTTGGTCTTTGCTCTTTGATAAACTGCCGTTTTAAGCCTTTATCCTTATATGCTACGGGGGCGTTTGGTATAATAATTGAAAATGGAGTGGAAAGGAAATAAATAAGGAGAAGGAAAGGAATCATTTTACCGTTACCTTTTCATTTGTTTGGTATAAACATGGAAATGAATCACCTAAAACTAACTCTCTTTATTTTGTTTGAGGAGGTAAGGGTAATTGTTATATTAGGTTTTAGAGAGGTAACAAATGGGTGGAAACCATTACCCTTAGGTAATGATAATTGTTACCCAAGTCACCTAACCAAACATTTGATAACGGTAATGGTTTAATTGAATCCGTTTCCAACCCTTAAAATACTCTTACCAAACATGCTCTACATCTCTTGGCAGGAAAGGTGGGAGAACTGACTCTTGCACTCTCTGATCTTCTCTGGAATGACATGGGAGCAGGACCTGAAACACATAGGATCCGCATAATTTACGAATAGGATCTGTGTTATGTGTTATCTACGAACCTTACTGAATCATTGCCATCTTGCTTGTGGTGCTTCAACTAAAGGTTATAAAAGTCCTTATTCCACTCTGTTTTTTTTTTTTTTTTTCATAACACTTGGTCACTTTTGTTACTAAATTAGTTTTTTTTTTTTTTTTTTTTTTTTTTTTACGAAAAAATTAGTATTTCAATGTTAGCTTAGTTGGCTTTAATGGTCAAGTCTTGAGATCGGAGTATGAGCATTGTTGCCATGAGTAACGACCTGGAATTGACCCGGCCTTATATATTATTACATTAATGACATGAGGTGGGCTGTGGGGGTAAGTCTTTGGCCTCATACGTGACATATGGTTAATCTTTAGGCAATTTGAGACAAGCTAAGCTAGGTTCATAGTGCAAATTGCTAAATTTGCATTTTTGCCCTTGTCTCACCCCTCTCTCTCCCTCAATCTCACCTAGAACCAGTGTATAAAAAAGCGCAAGGCGCACTAAGGCGATAGGGGTTCTAGAGCCTAGGCGATAGGCGCAAGCACAAGCGCAAGGCGCGCGCCTTATCGAAGTAAGGTGCACTTTTCTACATTTAAAGGTCCCTTCACTTATACATATATATATGTGATTGAAACATAATATTAAAATACATAAATATATAAGAAAAACATTGATTTTCCATTGCACATAGTTTTCCAAAACATAGCATACAAAATAGTGTATTTCAATTAGGAAACAGATATAGTAGTTTCAAAAGGATATGTAAATCTGTCCTCCTTTGCTCCTAATGTCCTCCATGTCTGTCATTATAAAAGAACAAGACTTAAATACAAATTATATTTGTAATAAATTATATTACTATACATTATTAATGGATTATAATAATTAAATGACAGTGGGTGATGAATAAAATAGTCAACAAATTAAATAACCACATATTATAATAAAAGCAATTGATATTTTCATTAGGGTAAGTTTATCCCTAGTCTTGAGATGAGTCTTTAGACAAGTCTTGAGCAAGACTCTAGCAATAATGAGATGAGTTTTGGATTCCAAAACTCATCTTGAAACTATACAAAAGGACAAAAATAATTATATTGTCCAATAGTGAGCTGTCAACTCACCATTCTAATAATAATTTATAAATGAAATAAATATATTAATAAATTAATGTTATTAATATTAATTGGATAAGTAAATCTGGAGTGAGTCTTGGAATAATGTGTAAAACTGGAGAAAGTCTTGTATGAGTCTGAATAATAAAAAAGTAATTAAATAGCGGAAATTTGATGTGGCAGAGTCTAGAGTATAAGTCTCAGTCTTGGGATAAACTTACCCTAAATGTTGTTGGTTAGTGGTGATGTCAGTTTATTAAATTAATGTAGACCATGTGGCTTTTTAGGTAGAATGTGACAAATGGTTGATAGTTGATATTTGCATTTATTGTTTATATATATTTTATTTGCATGCAAAATTTACAGAAAAGAGGTGTTATAAAGGTTCTCATCTCTACAAAGGACATAAAGGTTAGGTCTTTTTCAAGATTAGAGAGATGAAAAAAAATCAGGCAAACAGATTAAATAAAAAAAACAGAAGGAAAATCAGAAAAGACAGAGAAGAAGTATGGAAGAAAAAGAAAAAAAAAATTAACGAAATTTTGGTTGAAGATTACGTACCTGAATATGGCTGAAGAAAACTTCAAGAAACAGCTAGGACCGGCTACAACAAATCAGCAATCTTCTGTCGTCTACTTTTTTTTTTTTCTTTCTTCTTCTTTGAATTTCTAGTGTTAAGGATATTGTGGACCACAAAATAAACCAGATAAAATATATAGAACTTTCTAGCATCACACTAAATAGTACTACATACATTATTTTAATATAAAGCATAATAGTAAAAAGATAAAAGTAACTTTTTTAAAAAAGGCACAACTAAGCAAGCTCTCTGCGCCTACTGCGCTTCACGCGCCTCAATGAGCCTAGTTGCGCTTCATTCAAAACGCTTTGCCTAGCAACAATTAAGCCCTTACCCCTAAACGCCTATCGCCTTAGCTGTAACACCCCCAAATTTCCCAGTATAATACGTATAATTATACCGTAGAGATAGACTTAAGCGTATTACCGCCGCGTGATTACGCAAGGCTACCAAAACTACTAACCAAAACCAATACTATGCATCGGAAACTTCAATACTTTCTTTATTAATAATAACTATAAATAGCACCATTGTCATGAGTACTCATAATCAAACGGAGACCAACAATCCTAATCTAGGTGAAGAACATTCCCGGGACTCCCATATGCTCAATTCTTGACTTCACCTGAAATTAGTCAACACTGCTTATCATTACAGTAAATATGGCGAAACAAAACAAATAAGAAATACGGGTTAGCAAAATATGCTAAGTACGATAAGTGCAAGATAAGTAAATTCAATTTATTTGCAAACATGCTTTTAAAACCAATTCCAATGTTAATCCAATAATCCCGAACTCAAAATTTCAAAACCAATTCCAATAATATAATTCCAAAACTCATGATTCAAAACCAATTCCAATAATATAATAATTCGATTAAACGATTTAAAAAACCAATTCTTTTTATGAAAAACCAATTCCTTCTTTGAAAACCAATTCCTCACCCAAGTGTGCACACCCCCCAAGCTAGTCTCCTACTATTTCAAGGCTATTCTTGAGGAAAGACTCGGTCATACAAAGTCCAAAGTCTTATCTACCAAATCCGCATAGTGGGATTACTATCAACATGCTTGTAAAGCTTTAATAATAATAATTCAATAAATCCTTTTCCAATTTCAAAATTCCAACATAATTCAAAACTCCTTTTATTTGCTTTCAAAACCAAACCTTTTTAAAACATGATAAATAATTTTATTCAAAACATGATATAAAATCAATCCTCCAATTTATTTATAAAAACCATTTTTTTTTAAACATGCTTTTATTTCATAAATCATAATTCAATTCAATTTAATTCAATCATCATAAAAATCATATAAAACATGCTTATACAAACCAATCAATTTCAAAGGTATCTAGCCACCTAAACATACCTTTGGTCCTTGCTTAGAAAATACAAAGAAATCTCAAGAACTTGGATAAAAAAACACCTTATAAATAAATATAACCTTAATTAATATAAGGTTAAAAAATAATCACAACAATTAAATTAAAAACCCCCAACTCTATATGTACATGAACCTTTTAAATTATTTTTCATAAACATGAATAAAAATCTGATTTTATTTAATTAAAACCACTCATAATAATTTTTATAAATCCCCCATATAATAATAATTAATTAAATAAGAGAAGAGAAGAAGAAAAGGTAGAAAACCAAGGAAAAGAGAGAGAGAGAGGTGGCGGCTGGTGGATGGCGTCGGGGAGGGTGGCAGCCGGCGTGGAGGTGGTGGTTGTGGTGGTGGCGCAAGAAAGAAAAGAAAAGAAAAAGAGAAGAGAAATTAAAGAAAGAGATTAGGAAAGAATTAGAGAATTTGTAGAATTAGTGTTATATACCTGGTTGTACGATACACCCAGGGTTATTATTGTCATTTCACGCGTTTTTGCTTGTACACGTGATACTTGGGTTCACGCTTTACTCGTTTTCCTGCTCTTTTTTATTTTTTATTTTCTCTCTCTTCCTTTCTTCTTTCTCTCTTTTCCTTCTCTCTTTCTAGTCTTCAATTTCCAAAATTACCAGAATTTCCTTTCTTCAGTTTCTTTATCTACATTTTCCAGATTTTGCTTAAAATTGCTTCTAGTTGCTACAATGGCGGAATCTAGGTAAATTTCCTCTTTGTTTTTTCAATTTTTGTTTGTGTTTTTGGTTACATTATGATTAATTTCATGTATTTTTGTTCAATTATACTTCGAATTAAGTTTCATGTATTTTCGTGTGATTAATTATACTTTGTATAAACTTTTTGTGCTCAATTTTTTCAGATTTTTTTGCTCAATTATAATTCGTATAAAATTTTGTGCTCAATTTTTATTTTGCTCAATTTTGTACGGAGTATTAATTATACTTCTTAAGTTTCATGTATTTTTGTTTCAATTTTTGTTTTATTTTCATTAATGTGTCCTTCATTGTGTTCAATTTTTGTTTAAATTTCAGTAATGTGTCATTAATTGCTCTTTTTGCTTATTTATTTGGTGTAATTGGTTTTCTTTTATGTGTGATGAATTGCTCATGTTGCTCATTTTTTTTGTATAATTTCTGTTTTATGTTTGCTCATTTTCCTATGTTTGTTCATTTTATGATATTTTTTTTGCTCATATTGTGTTTGTTTGCTCATTTATATTTTTGTTCTTATTTGCGTAGTATATTTTGCTCATTTTTTTGCCTGTGAGCGAGGTGGAGACGATTTCACATGCTCTGTTTGACTGTATTGCAATCAGGCATATCTGGGACAATTATGAACATGCTACAGTTATTTCTGAGTCCCCGATGTAGGCTTCTTTTGCTGAAAGAGCGCTATGGATTGCTGATAAGATTAGCAAGGAGGATCTTTGTGTGCTATTGTCAATTGCATGGTCAGTTTGGTTTTGTTGGAACAAGAGTATTTTTGAAGGTGTGGCTCTGAATATTAATGTAATGGCAGCTAGTTTCGCAAAGTTAATACATGATTACAAAATGTATGCAACGAAGGTTTTCCCTCCCAAGTTATCTACACTGTCTCACAGTGTAGCTGCGTGGTCTGTACCTCCTTCTAGCATTATAAAAATTAATTTTGATGCCTATTTCAGCTTGAACTCATCTGGTGCCATAGGTGCAGTAGCTATAGGTGCAGTAGCTGGGGACAGTGAGGGGCATGTTTTATGGGCTGCAGTCCGAAGAATTCCAATGGGGTGGGATGTTGAAACAGCAGAAATTGTTGTTGCCCGGTTTGGTTGTCAGGTGGCAAGAAGATTGGGTTTACAGCGAGTGTGGCTTGAAGGAGATGCTTTGACAGTGATTAACGCATTAATGGTTCCTCTCATGCATGGTCCCTATTTGGCTCATTTTTCCTATGTTTGTTCATTTTATGATTTTTTTGCTCATTTTGTGTTTTTTTGCTCATTTTTATTTTTGTTCTCATTTATATGTTTGCATATTTTATTTTTGATTGTTTGTCGAATATACTAGTGGTTCTGATAATGATTATGTGTACTCATTTTATAATAGTCTGTGCTTTTGTGTACCAGAAATGAATAGCATTGGTGGTATACTAGTGCTTTTGCCTCTTATACTAGTGCTTTTGTACCAGAAATGATTATTTGCTTATTTGTATTGCAGTAAAAGCTCCTGATGTTAATGATTCTGCGCAACAAGTTCAACCACAATGTTCCGATATTCAGACTTTTAAAGTAGAATATAAGTTGAAGAGGTTTAAAACATTAGCTATGAGGGAGAAAGGGAAAAAGATTTTGAACAAAAAAGTAGAAAAACAGAAGGTTGTTGGTAAAGGTAAACAGAAGGTTCTTGGTAAAGGTAAAGAGAAGGCTAAATCTGATGAATCTCCTAAGAACATCAAAGCTGAAAAGTTTTGCTTTTCTGATTCTTTGCGAAGTAGAATGTCTCCTTCGTTAGTTGTAAGTGTTGTAGAGGATTGTTCTGACGCTTAGTTGGAATCTATTAGGCAAATGGGTTTCGGGTCGTTAGAGTATTTAAAGGTGTCCCAATTGCCTCTTCACTTGGGTTTGTGGCTGGTGCAGCATTTTGACGCCAAAACTTCTAGTTTGTGCATACCCGATTGTGAGCCATTGCGTATTACTGAGCAACATGTGCACGAAGTGTTTAGGTTTCCTCTTGGAGGTCAAGATATAAAAGATGCAACAACATATCCAAGTGTGGTTAGGCGATGGAAAAAATAGTTCAAGAGGAACTCAATCTGTGTTAAATTGGGTGAACTTGCCTCATATTTGAAGAACCACAAGTCTGGTGGTCCTATGTTCAAGAGAAACTTTGTTGTTCTTTGTGTATCCACGTTAATGTCAGGTGAATGAATTAATTTTAGTTAATTTCAGCTAACTCAATACGTTAATGAATTAATTTCAGCTTTAAGCTCAGTACATTCACTTTGTTTTATTTTCAGCTAGTTTGCTCATTTTCCTTAAGCAAGCGTATCATTTGTTATCATTGGATGTTTTACACTGACTTATGAACACACCCTCACTCTTCAATTTGCTCATTTTATGTTAGGTGGACAAAACATGAATGTGAATTATTCGATTCTGAAATATCTTGGTGATACGGATAAAATCAGATATTTGAATTGGTCAAAGTACATTCTTGATCATCTTGTGGCTAATAAGATATATTGGGACGAGCATCCAACTCGTTATTTTCCTGGATCTTTGCTATTTCTTATGGTATTTTTACCACTTTTTTTTTTTTTTTACCACTTTTTTTTTTTTTTGGTATAAACTTAATCTTTTTATGTGTTTGTGATTGTTTATTCATATTCTTATTTGTTTGTAGCTTCTTTATGTTGATCGGTTTATAATTGAGGAAGTTCGAGCTCAAAGAGAAATTCCAATTCTTAAAGGTTGGACAACTAATATGTTGTCTACACGTGAGAAATTGGAATTCTTTAAAGGGAGGATTGGAAGCTTTGGTAACAACCAACCTGTTGCTGTTTCTTCTGGCAGCAAGAAGCCAAAGATGGTAGCTAACTATCATTTTTTAGTTCATTTTTACTTTTCATCATATATTTCTAACTTTCTTTTTTTTTTTGTTTTGTTTTCATTTAGGAAAATTCTGTTCCAGTTGATACAGAAAATGATAAAGGTTCTGAACCAAATTCGAAGAAGGTATACATTTTGGTCGCAGATTTTGCTTTTAATTACACCTTGTTTTTTCATTTTGTTAAGGCCTTTAGGTTGAACTTTAGATTTGATTGATTTATCTAGCTGGGGTCAAGAGACTTTTAGACTAGTATTTATGCTTGTTTATTTATACATTGAATTTGCTCATTTTTTAAATGTTTATATTATTTTTGCTCATTTTTTATTTCATTTTTTACTTTTCATCATGTATTTATAACTTTTTTTTCCTTTTTGTTTTGTTTGCATCTAGGAAAATTATGTTCTTGTTGATACAGAAAATCATAAAGTTGCTAAACCAGATCCGAAGAAGGTATTAATTTTGGTCATATCAGATTTATGCTTGTTTATTCAAACATTGAATTTGCTCATTTTTTAAATGTTCATCTTAATTTTGTTCATTTTATAAGTGATTAGATTATATTTGCTCATTTTTTAAATGGTCATATTATTTTTGTTCATTTTTTAAGTGATTAGATTGTGCATCTATTCTTGTTTATTCATATACTTTTTTTTTTATTTTTTTTTTAATTTTATAGAAGTGTTTGATGGAGCTTGCTAGTGCATCTATAAATCTGGTTTTAGCGTATATTGACTTTGGTAAAAAGCATGAAGCTGCAATTAAGCATTTTCCAAATAATGAGAAGAATCGAAAGTTAAAAGATGCTATGATGATATGTGATGAGCAGAAATTGCATTCAAAAGTTATAAATAAAGGTCAAGGTTTGTCATTTAGTCAAGACGAAGAATATTAGCAAGATCCTGCTTTTATTGAAGCTTGGGACGCCTTTTCTAAGGTTTCTTTCAGTGATAATACTCCTGATTTAGTTCATGCAAACATTGTACAACCTAATGTTGGTGGCAATGAATCAGAAGTTGTAGATATCAGATCAATTGCAGCTGAAAGTGTTCGTATGGCTAATCAAATCCCTGAGCATGAACCTCCTCTTATAGCTGCAACTGGAGATTCATTAGAGGCTGTAAATCCAAGTGTTGATGTTCAAAAATCACCATCCAAAAGGGTTACAAGAAGTTCTGTTGCTAAATTTGGCGGAAGCCCTTCGTTTAGTTTACGACACAATTCTCCACAATCATCTCAGGAGAAGTCTTTAGTCATTGCACCTATACCTTGTTGTCCTGCCAAATCAGTTGAAGCAAAAGTTGTTGAGATCAATGAAGAACCAACTGATCAAGCAGTTCATCAGACAACAGATGAAGGAACATCTTTGGTTTATCAGCATACTGATCAAGCAACTAAAGCTACTGAAGTTCAGGGGGCAAAAGACACTAAAACAACAAACTCAGCGCAGAATTTAGTGAGGGTTGTTCGACTTGTGCTTAAAAGGAAAACAGAAACTCCAAATCAGGTTACAAATTTGAAGAAAAAGAGGAAAGTGCAGCCATCAATGATGTTTAGATCGCCTTATAAATGTCGAGTTGTCAACTTCCAAACACCATTGACAAAAGCTCAGAAAGCTCTACTAGATTCTGTTTTTGATGAAGAGAAATCTCGTTTGTAAGTGTCATCTTGAATGAGTATGATTAAATCTGTATTATTACTCTTATTTATTGTTTATATTTTATTAATCTTTTTTTCATTCTTTGTAGTGATGTAGTGTTTGCATACAAGTCTAATGTTGTTGATGATGATGATCTCCATACAATGAGATTTCAACTTGCAACTTTGAAAACTCCATCTCAAATAGTTTCTTCAGAAGTGATTTATGCTTGGTCTGTTATTTTGAATTGTAATGAGAAGTTTAAAGATCCTGCTTCTCCTATGCGTTTCTTTTTCACTCTTCTTACAAGTGTAAGTTAATTTTTTGCTCATATTATTTTACTTTACTGTATTTTTTTTAATGTGTTATGTTGCTCATTTAAGTATCATGTTCGTCTGTTGCTCGTTTAAGTATTACGTACTCGATTTTTTCTTGTTTACATACTCGTTTAAGCTTTTTCTAAGGTTACTTTAATGTGTTTTTTTTTAATGTGTTTTGTTGCTCATTTAATTTTGTTTACTTATTTAGGTTGTAGTTTTCTTATTAGCTCATTTTTTAAGAGTAATTTGATGACTTAAGATTTATTCATGCATCATGAGTGCCTAGTCCACTATGAAAGTGATAATATTGATCAAAGAAACCAAATGTTTTGTGAAATTGCTGAAAAAGAATTATTTTGCAAAAGCTTATTTGCAAAGAAAGATGTTCAACTGTTCTTTTTCCCGGTTTATCAAAATAGTCACTATTTTTTGGTATGTTTTAATACAAATACACTGCATGGGACAATGGAGATTATAGATTGGAATGAAGGCAATGGGCATTACAACAAATTTCTGAAAAATTTGGTTAGCATTGATCCTATTCTTTTCAAATTTTTTTTATATTTACGTATTAAATCCTCTTTTTTTTTATTTTTGTGTGTTTCAGAAAAGTGTTTTTTCTTGTCTTATGGACTCTAAACATGTTTTGTCCAAAGAAGTTAAGAATATGGCCACTGCTTCTATTGATTTCACTTGGAAATCTGCGGATGAAAAGCATGTTGATTGTGGTGTTGTATTGATGAGACACATGGAGACTTATATGGGCTCCAAGGTTTGGGATTCTGGTTTGAAAAAGAATGATGTAAGTTTCAAATTTACTGAACTAGTTGCTGTATTTTTGTTTATTTTTTGTCAACTTAGTTAATTTCATCTAATCATTGTATATTCATTATCTGTTATGTTCTTTTTTTGCAGTTAACCATCATTGAAAAGCTTCGGATGAAACATTGTCACTTAATCTTATCAAGTAAAGTTAATGGTGCAGATTTTGCTAGCCAGTCAACTAAAGGAATGTCAAACAAATCTCCAAGGAAGAAAAAAAGCTGAAAATTAGTTTTAATTGGAATTCTTTTAAGACTTAGAACTTGTATAAAGCTTAGAACTTTTTACATTCTTATTTTAAATCTTATTAGAACAATAGAACTTGTAGTATCACTTTGAATATGTATGGAAGTATGATTAAATTTGCTCATTTGTCAAATGCTTAAAAATTTTTTTGCTCATTTGTCAAATGCTTATGTTTTGCTCATTTGGTCATGCTAATTTCAGAGGATTTCAGATAAACAATCAATTTGTTTCACTCTGGTTTTACATTTACACAATAAAACATGGTTCTCATGTAGTCATGTTTCACAGCATGTTTTCGATTTGGGTAATGACTATGCATAATGCTACTTCTTAATCTCAAATATTATACAAAATAGTGCAGTAGCACAGTAAGTAATTATACACAATCTGAAGTGTTGCTAATTGTCTAGCTTTGATGGCAATATTTACTAGCAACTTTTACTTTGTATTTATGCTCAGCATCATACATACTGCTCTTCTCATAGTCATGCTCTTCTTAGAGTGGCTCTGAAAAGGTGGGAGAATGCTCTTCACTGGCAACACTCAGGCCAGAACATCTCTCGTCAGAGTACACATCATTTTCATGCTCAACATCTTGAACATATACATCAAACTCAATATAAGGGGGATCCTCGAGACAAGAAAATTTATCATGATCTGTTTCTTCAAAATCTTCCCCAAATTAAACTTCAGCTGCTGGGACAAATCTTCAAGCAGACGTCTTCTGACAGCTGGTCTTTTACCCTTCTGCCTACTTTTTCTTTTTGATGCAGCCTTTTCTTTTGCTAGCTTTAATTGACGAACACATTCATTTGCTAGATCTGGCTTCCAATATCTCTGGACCAAGGCCATTCCATTTAAGTACCTCTTCTTTGCTCAATTATCAAATGTTTAAAAATTCTTTGCTCATTTGTCAAATGCTTAAATTTTTTTTTTTGCTCATTTGTCAAATGCTTAAATTATTTTGCTCATTATTTTCAGCTATGCCAAATATATATCTACTGAAACATCTCCAACTGCTATATTGTTTAGGCATTTCTCATTAAATTTGCTCATTTTGCAAATGGTTAGAATACTTTTGCTCAATTTTCAAATGGTTAGAATACTTTTTCTCATATTTCAAATGGTTAGATTACAAGTACTCATTTATACTACAACTCATTGTTAAGACAAAAAAAGATATAACACCTTTGATAAAAAAGATATAACACTTGGCAATGCAAGTTATCAAATGTATAAGGAAATAAGGTCTAACGATAATATCAATTTGTTACATTATCAAAATCAAAAACTGATATGCATGTAACTTTCTTCTTTCCTAGTGATTAATAGGTACTTGTGGTGGATTCTCTTTTCTTTTTTTAGCTTCTTCACTTGATGTAGCAGCTTTCTTCTTTTTTCCTCTAGCAATATTAGTCTTCACTTGAAGGATACTCTTCGGACGGTCATTGCTTACATACTTTTGTTTATTTTCCTTTGGATTAGCTATTATATCTTCATCATTTTCTGTAATTTCTGCATCAGATATGTAAGTGCTTCCAATGTGGCTGTAAACTTCTTCTCTAGCTTTGTTAAAAATCTCTTCAATTGATCTTCTACACTCCGCATTGTTGTCAGCAGCAACCACTAATTTGTGGAATTTTCTTTGGATATGGAGTCTCCAAACAGCTGAAGCAACCATTTCCTTTCTCTAGGGTGGTTTTCCAGATTCATTTGTAGGCTTAGGCTTTGTATCACGGGAATAGCAATTCAATATGTATGTACTTGGTATGTCTTCCACACAATGCACATGGTATGTTCTTAATACATGTCTGCATAATATTCCAAATTCTTCAAACCTCTTACAAGTACAACAAACATTGTTGTTACTGATATCATAGGTTACAAGATTCCCAATGTAATCGTAGCCCGGAATCCAAACAATATAAACCAGAATCCTATCTTCCTCGGATCTAAGCTCATGCTTATGTGTCATTCCTCTCAAAAACTTTGTCTCAAATGGTTTGTATGCGTTTATTGTGTATATTCTTGAGGCATTATACAGAAGTTTGACAAAAGGTAATGCTATTTATGGATACCCTTCCCAACAAAGCTCGTCGTCTTTTCCTTCTTTACTTCTCCATTCCCCCAATGACTTCACAAAAATTATTGTAAAAGTCATATAAACTGTTGCTTTTATGAAGCCTGTGACTTAAGGCATTATTTGTAGATTCGCTTCTTTGTGATGATAATATGCCTCCAGAAAAAACATCTTTTGTATAAGCCCTGCTCCACTTGTATTTAAGCTCATATAATCTATTTAGCCATGCATTATCATTGCATTTAAAATCTGTTGTCATCCTACATTAACAACATATAAAATTCAGCACATAAAAACAGTAAAAGGAAGCCCTGATTATATGTTGTAAAATGAGCAGAAGCTATGGTATTGTTCAGCATTATATCTGATTATATGTTATAAAAACAGCACATAAAAACAACACATAAATGAGCAGAAGCTATGGTATTGAGCAGAAGCCCTGATTATATGTTATAAAAAAGCACATAATTCTGTTGTCATCCTGCATTATATGTTATTGTTCAGCATTATATGAGCAAAAGAACCAATAAAAACACTGTAAAAGGAAGCCCTGATTTAGCCGTAAAATGAGCAGAAGCTATGGTATAAAATGAACAAAATAAGTATAAAGCAGAAAGTATAAGGGATTGAGCAGAAGCTGTAAAATAAACAGAAGTTGTATAATAAGTAGAAGCTGTAAAATAAGCAGTACCTAGGAGAAGAGTGAAAGAAAGTGTAAAAAGTATAAAAAGAAATTGTTTTATATACACTTACTTGTTCCAAAAGTATTCAAATTCTAATGGAGTATGACATTTTTTCAGCACTCGATCAAAGACATCCATAAACCCATCCTTTTGTCTTAAGTCTCTGATATGTGCTCTAGAATTTTCACCTATGTGCCATATGCACAATCTGTGTGTAACTCCAGGGAACACACTTTGTATAGCTGAATTCATGGCGAATGACTGATCTGTCATGAATGTTTTAGGGTATAGACCTTCCATTGACTTCAAAAAAGTGGTGAACAACCATTCAAAAGAGCAAGTTCTTTCATTCAAGATAAATCCACAACCAAACATACAATTGTGTCCATGACTATTCATTCCCACAAATGGACCACAAATAAGGTCATACTTATTTGTCCTATATGTGGTGTCATGTACCACTAAGTCTCCAAAAACCATGTAATCCTCTTTCATTTTCTTATCCCTCCAAAAAAAACTCGTTAAAGATGAATCAAGGTCCACTTCAAAATCCCAATAAAAATCCTCTTCATTAGCTTGTCTTTGCTTAAATATATTAATTAGCGTGTTTGCATCACAACCATCGAATTGTTTCCTCATTGCTCTAGCAACAACATTATATGCATCCTCTAAACTAAAACCAAGTGCAGGGGAACTTGTAGCTTCTACCCTTATACACTTATAAGCTTCTGCAACACCTACACCTCTTCTCTTCATATGCACAAGGTATTGCACTTCTTCATTTGTTATCCCTCTTTGGGAACGCACATGATGCACCTGTTCTGGAGGACTGAAACTATGATTATGTTCTGTCCTATGCCTAACTACTTCCCATGCACCATTATTATCTATTTTAAAATATATCATCGCCTTGCAATTAGTTCTTCTAATTAGTTTGATGTATTTCCTCTCCTTATTTTCTTTCTTTAGACCTTCTTTATTGCAAAATTCTTACCCTTTAACTTCACCATGTGCTTCACTCCTCCTTGTCCTGGAATATCTATTCCCAAATCCTTTTTTGAAAGCATACTCATTGTATATCTTGAATGCTTCTTTTACTGTATTGACTTTTAAACCAAGTAGCTCTGATTCTCTAGCTTCTTTGTGTATGTTTTCCAATGATGCAAATTCTGCAGCAATATCTACTTTGTTAGCTTGTTACAAAAATGAGAAAAATTATCTGATTTGCTTGTTAGCAATATTTACCAACTTAGCAATTTTTGCAGCAACACTATTTGATCATTAGAAAAATGAGCAAAACTATCTTTGACAATACACAAAGAATCAGAATCTGGTTTGTTAAGTCAGCACATAATTTGATCATTTGCTGATTTATTCAACACTGATTAATAAGTCAGATGCAACATCAGATACAACACTGATTTATTCATTACTAGTGCCTCTAACAATAAAAAATATTAATTTCACCTAAATTTGTTCATTTAGGTTAGCCCATATGTTTCAATTTGCTCATATGAAAATCAATACTAGTGCCTCTAATATGATAATCAACCTCAGTTTGCTCAATTGCAGTACAATTAAAACATGCATGCATGCACTAGATTATTAACCTTTATTTGCTCAATTACAGTACAATTCATTATTTGCTCAATTGCAGTACAATTAAAACCGTTATTTTAATGAATAATCTCGATCAATTTATGCTCATTTAAGTTTATTATTGCTAAAATACATAGAATTCCGCGGCAATAAACATAAATTAAAAGATGAATTTGCTCAAATCAACAACTAATATTGATAAATTCGCAAAAAAAAAAATTGCAAAAAATAGTGCAAAAAAAATTGCTCAATTGATACCTAGTTGTTGAGATTGATCTTCGATTGTTTGTATTGGAGTTGGTATTGGAGTTGCAATCAATTCTGCCATTATTGTTGTGAATTTTCGAGTAAATTGTCTGCAAATTTATGAAGAACATAAAGATGAAATTGAGTGTCGAAATAAGGAAGAAGAAAAGAAGCTCCAGTTATCATGTGTAAGGCACATGCTTTTTTTATTACGAATTTACCAAAATTCCCTTGGGTGTACCTAGAGGAAGGTACACTCGAGTGTACAGAACAGGAGCCCGAGAATTTGGTGTGAGTGTTTAGCCATTTATCAATGGATATTTATAGGCTAGCTCATGCATGAATTATGGTAAGAGAATGTAGGAAGAATTATGGTAAAAAGAATTAAGGAAATTACTTGAATAAGAGTGTTAAAGAAATATGGAAAGTTTGAGATTAAGGTGATTAAGAATAATAAAATTAAGAAAAGTATGTTGTCATGAAAAATAATATGGCAAAGAGGTTTACTTGGGGAATAATCAAGGATGAAATAAGGTAGGAAAATAAGATGATCAAATATTTAGGAGGTGGGAAATAAAAATTAAGGAAAATAATAATTTTTGAGCAAGATAATTAAAAATACAAATTACCAAAATATTTCCCCCAAAAATCAACCAAGAGGGCCAAAAATATTGAGCTTCCATAGAACAAATTTTCGAACCTCCTTAGTGTATTTAAGGAAATTATTTGCTAGATTTAAGGATTAAAAATAGTTGTGTAAATAATATTTATTGTATAAAATAATTAATTAAGAAAATACCAATTATTCACTAAATAATTTAACTAAGAAAATCAGATTTTCCACACTAGGAAAATCCAAATTCCTTAGCTAATCATTATGAATTTCCGGACCTCCTTATTTAAATAATAAATATAGTTTTTGCTTAATTAAAATATCCGAAATATATATAAATAATCCGGTTTTTAAAATAAAATAAATAGATAATAAATCTTATTCAAAATCCAAAAATAATAATTAAGTTTTAAAATACTTTTGGCGCCAAAATTCAAATATCATTTTGGCTCCAAAATTCAAATAATAGAAAAATAAATTACTAAATTACCCTTTTTAGAAAATAATAATTAATTAATTAATTAGAAAATACGTTTCAAAAATACGGGATATTACATTAGCGCCTAGGCGCACTTTTTCATACACTGCCTAGAACTCAGCTGTAGTTAGCTAGATATTGTCAACTACACGAGCACACCACCAAAAGCCACGTTAGATGAAAGGAGGGTCTTAAACGTTCATTGGTTTTGTTTGCGATGTTTTAAATGTCAATTTGCACTAGAGGTTTATTTGTTTGGTGAAAATGTGGCCCTTGTCATTGTGAGAGAACACTCTAGGGAAGAGAGAGAAAGTAGTTATGGGCAACGATTGCCCGTACTCCATAGATGGCAGCAACTCACAAAGAGGTTAAGGGATAAGCAAGGGAGAAAGGGTGGTAGTTCCAAATTGCTTAGGATGAGCACTTTTGCAATTTCAAGTGCTTGTTTGGTTCACACGTGGTATTAACTTTCCACGGGAAGTTTCGTTTCATGGGAAGTTACTTGATGATTTTTTTATGAAATACCTTTATGTTAGTTGAGATAAACACTACAAGAGGGGGGTGAATCGTAGGTGAGTTCCTAGTGACTACTTTTGTGGAATTGAAACAGAATAATAAAGGAACTTGCAATGCACACGGGATTTTACGAGGAAACCTTCCAGGGCCAAATGGAAATAAAACCTCGACCCTTCAAGGGATTTCAAACACCAAACCAATCCACTAAATAGGGCTAAACAAATCAAGTTACAACCTATTATAACCAGACCTTTCTCACAAGTTTCAGACTGAACTTGCTACACAATAGGACCCCATCCTACCCAATCTAAGTTCCGGACTTAGATTCCACTCAGCACTCCCCGAATACTCACACACTCAGCTTCAACCTTGAAGCCTGCAATCTATATGCAATAGCTAAACACTTACCCCAATTTCAAAACAATACAAACTTTTGACTCTAATATGTGATTGGAAAGGTACACATGAAATCCGAAACTAAAATGACAAAGTTTAGACTTGGCAAACTTACACTTTTCGCACTCTTTAGATTTTTCACGCATAAACTCCCAAGTTGTGCAAATTATGAATTCTACTTCATATACAAGCAAGTTGTACTCGTATGTAAAGTAGGGTTTTCAATAGATAGAAATTAATAAACTACCGTTTTCATAATATAATCACAACACTTAAGTAAATCTTTTTAGAAGAAAATATTTTGGAAACTTAACAAAGATATAATTTTAGAAAAGAATAATATTTTGTAAAAACGGATCTTATAAGATAAATCTCTCAAAAATCTTTTCATAAAATTAAAACTTATCTTTTATAAAACTTTCCATATTAAAAAGCTTGCAAGCTTTGCCACGCTTCTAACAGATTTCATGTATAAACTAACCTTAATATATTTACAACAATCCTTAGAAAAATAAACTTAACAAAAAGACTTTTATTCTAAAACTAGATTGTCTCATCAATCGTTGTATTGTAAGGATACTTGGGCTTCACGTTAACCAGGACTAAGTTCCTGCTGTCTTCAACTCTCTAGCTCCGTGTTGGAACTCGCAGTCCAAGTTGTTGTGGAACTTGCTATCTTCAATGCAGTCTAAGCTAATCTTCTCAGCTTGCTGTCAAGCTCCTGTTAGGGAACTTCTCTTCGTGTTCCTATTAGGGATCACAGTTAGTTCCAGAGATGAACTCTTCTTCTATTTTCTTTAACTTTCCTTTATATCTCCTTAAGTCTTCATAGATAGGTTACTCTTCCACTTTCAAAGTCAACTTCACCTGTTCTAATCAAACACTTAGAAAAATCGCATTAGTTGAAGTTTGCTTTTATTCATCATCATCAAAACTCTTAAGCTTCAACACTTTATAAGGTTTGATTGACACTTGCGCATTTTTAGTTCATGGAAAATTGACATGAGAATTGTGATTTACTAAGGGTAGGGTAAGTAAGTCATTTTACATGTTCCATGGGAATTCCAGCTTTCAAATTAAGGAAGTTCCACTTTTCTAATTTTAACCATTTTATGTCAACCAAACAGCTTGTCTTATATATAAGTCCCGTGCCACGCATGGTATTTACTAATTTTTCATAATAAATTATAGTAATTCAATAATAACTTTTGTACTTAAAATAAGATGCTAGTGGTTGTTTAATGGTAAGATTAGATAAATTTCCCTTGTCAAATAAGATTTTGTTGGTTATTTAAATGGTATGAAAAAATTAAATAAAAGAAGAACCAAAAAAAAAAGAAATAAAAAAAAAACACACACACACACACTAAAAGCAAATTGGATTGAAATTTTTTCACCTCAATGTGACAAGTGTAATGTCAATATTTGCTTTTAGTATTGGTTTATAGATTTGTTTCTAGCCGTCCAACCAAGCAAGCACCAAATTGGGTAAGGATGAACCCTTTTGTCATTCCTAATTTGCATAGTAAAGGTATTTTGGCTCTTAGCTTAAAACCTTACTCTGTTCATTAAACAATAGTTCTCACACTTTTGTGAGCAAAAAGTCTGGGTAATAACTTAATTATTGTCTTATTGAGATAAGAAGTATTTAACCACATGAAACAAGACATATTCGTAGTGGGTCTATACTCTATATGATCTTACTCTATAGGATCTTGAAAAATCTTTTTTTTTTTTTTTTTTTTTTTTTTACTTGTAACACTTTCTATTTTACGCTGTCAATGCATTATTTCAATCATTAATATCTTAAATTACCAACATCTAAAAATTATAAAAATTCGATTTTTTGAAAGTATAAATTGAGACGAATTTAACAAGACAACATATGACTAGATTTTTCTCAATTATAATTCATCAAACCTACTTCAAGTAGTGATGAATTTTAAAGTGTTGCAAGTAAATAAAAACGAATGAAGTACTTAATAAGATTCTGTTACCATATACAAAGTCTGAAGCATATCTTTCGACAAATAAATTAGTGGGAACCCAAGTATGGTT